TAAGGTTCATTTAGAGTTGATATGAACATTATTACTAATTACAATTTAATTTATTTGCTTGTTCTTATCATTTTTCTCATTAATGTAAATGAAAAAAACCAAGTGTAACAAACAGAGCATTGAATTTACTGACTATGTAGCCGAAACCGCCCCTTTGCGTCATAGCCTAAGCTAGAGTGTTGAACTAGCGTTCGCTCGCTCGTTCGATCGTATGCGAGAATGTTCATTCGTTCGTTCGTATGTGGTATTTTAAAAAATGAATGCCAATTCATTTTTCTACTGCTTACAGCAAGATTTCTGCAGGTTAATAAGGTTCTGTAACAATTAAAATAAAGACCAAAAACGCACACTTGTGCTAGCTGTTGTATTCCCTTCTTTTAGTTCCGTGAGTAAAAATGCAAAAATATCAATTTTCTACTTTGACAACTCTAACATAAGCTCCGCCTACTTACAGTAACTGCGTCTAATACTACTTTTTCCCACACTAAACAGTATCTAATTTTATTAGGTTTTTATCTTTATATAAACAGAGTATCCCACGTGGTAATGTCTCTGAAAATGATAAAGACAAACATATAATTCAAATGGTGAATGATAGTTTATGATTGATCAGGATAACTCTAAATCGTACGTATTATTCAAAAGTCATCATGAAATTCCAAAAATAAAAGCTATCTAAACTGATTACTCTATAGTAAATATGGTCTTATTGTTTTTATGATCTTACACACAAATGTATCTTTGAGAATAATAGTGGCAATAGCCGAAACCGTCGCTTTGAATGAGAATTATTTGTTTATTCTTAGAAAGAGGTATTAGTTCTTAAAATCTACCAAAGAGGGCGCCAACAGCTGTACATAGGAATGTCCATAAGAAAGCGCCCTCTTTGTCAAATATCTCGTTGTTGGTCAAGAAAAAGTGTGTATAGTTTCCTATTGTTGGGTATAGATAGGTGTCTTCAGCAAAGTTTTAGAACTTGTTGAGGTCTTGAATTTTCCCGGAGGTACCAACTAGCACTAGAACCACATAAATGATTGACATTCAAAGCATTCGGTTTCGGCTATCGCCACTATTATTCTCAACGACACAAATGAATTCCGTGCGTAACAAGCAATAAAAAAATAAATTTTATTCAAAATGTTAATAAATATGGTCTTATTGTTTTCGTAATCTTACACGCAAATGAATTTCGTGTACTATCACAAGCAAAACTATCTAAGCCCGATCTAGAGAATGGTTTCCTATATAAACGCACGATTGACTTCGAAATTTATCACAACTTTGTTTTTGACACAACAACGGTGGAGTTTCATCTTATTGAGTTGATTTAGATCAAGCAAAAAATTGGCTGCAGCAACACTTACAAATTTGTTAACAAAAGTTGGTTTCTACTGCTGCTATAAGTATGGCGCGAGCAATACTTTATCTCGGATTTTGTGTATTTCTATGCACACTATGGATGCAGGCAAGTTTTATTTAAACGATTCGACGTTTTCTTTGTGTGAAAATGATTAGTATTACTTTATTTTCTACATACTTTGAAAATTAGAGATCAATGTGTACCGCAACATTTATCGCGGCCAGGCAAAGCCACCAGGAGATCGAGAGCTACTGGACAAAGGAGCGAATCGCCGCTGCCAAACCCGTGGTCGCACCGAACTCGACGGCTGGAAATACGCCTGAATGGGACGTTGACTTCCCCGCCAGCGTCGCACGGACGGTCACCACGTCGATCGACGGTCAAAGTCCGAAGGATATTAAGGGTTTGATTAAAAGCAAAGTGGATAGCGCGCCAAGCACTTTGGGTCGGCTGTTTTTTTCCATAGGCAATGGTAGCTACGTATGTAGCGCGAATGTTGTGGCCTCCCAAAATGGCGACGTAATTGCGACCGCACGTCACTGCGGGTTCGGCAATGGTGGAGAAAACTATCGCTTCGCACCTGGTTACGACCGGGGTAACGCGCCACACGGCTGGTGGACGTGGCGGAGAGCCGGTTGGGTGACGACATCAGGGGGACCAGGCGACACTGCGTTCGTGGTGCTCAACACGCAGAACGGTCAGCACGTGCAGAATGTAGTAGGCTCAACCGGATTAGTGTTTGGTAGAACCGATTTCGGCTCCATCAACCTATGGGGCATACCAGACGACAAGAATTACGCGTTCAAGTGCCAGGGTCAGGCGGGTTTTACGGACAACGGCACCGTTATTACGATGGCAAATTGTAATGGGATGAGCGGTGGCGCCGGCGGTGGTGCATTCTCCGATATCGAAAATGGCGTATCTTACCAGTTCGCAACCTACTTTGGCAGCTGCGGCGATAAAGCGTGCGGTCCGATCTTTGGCAGCGCGGCTTTGGAAGTGTACAACGGCGCAAAGAACGCTTAATCGCACGTTTGGTCGGAGAGCCGGTTACAAATTTCAACATATCCTAGTACTGAGTAGTTAGAGCTATTTGAGTTATTATAGTTTTCAATGTAGAAAAAAATTACATGTTGAAAATTGCGATTACAAAATAAAACACTTGTAAATGATTCTCTTATCAAGGAGCATGCTTGACTTTTTTTTTGTTTCAATTCAGTGCTGTCCAAACTATTGGCCACATGTGGCCACGAGAAAATAATTGACCACGGGCGACGGAATACATTCCGTTTGAAAGCTTTTGGTTTGAAAGATGAAAACGGCAGAAGGAGAAACATCGTGGCAATGACAAATCAAACTTTGAATTCTTTTTTTTTTGCTAAAATATATATAACTTGTATGCAACTTATTGCCTACAAAAACCAAAAACTTAAAAAACGTGAACAAAAAATGTCGTATACAACTGAGTATAGACTCTTGAGGAACACAAATCACGCTATCTATAGGTATAACATAATAAATTATATTTATTGTCTACTTTTGCAATCGTTATAATATTTCTTATACACACATATAAATACGTATCGTGGATTGGAAAACGTCATCAATGAACTATACTAACACTTGGTGTAGCAAGTTCATCGCATGAGTGAACGGGTGACAATATTCGATGACTGCAAAACCATATGAAAAACCACACAAGTGTTGACAGTGCAAACACACGTTTTTTTTTAAATATTCCCTTGAATAATAAATCGTGGATGAAGCCGAGGCTTTGCAGAGCCCGAATATCAACAATAAAAGAAAATGAATAAATATAATTCCCAAGCAAATAATGTATATAAAATGTATGGCGTTTCTTTGATATGATGGTTTCCAGAAAAACTTCATTAGAAAAAATAAGCTGATTCAGCTAATAAAAAAGATAACAACGAGAGAATTATGTGTGTTTATATTTCATGTCATCCTTTCACTCTCTTCGTCAGTATTCCATTAATTTGTTGCCTAGTAGCAAAAATAGCAACGATCTTGAAATACGTAAGGCGTCCTCTTGGTCAAATGAATTAATTGATTTCACTAGTTCCACGCTACTAATCTAAATTATCCTACCGCCAAGCATAAGATTCATCGTACGGCCATCTTGTGTGGTTGTCAATGCTGAATATCCCAACACAAAAAAAGTTGTACACAATGCCACTGATATCACAAACAACAAAATATCAATTATTCGAAGGCGACAACTGTCGATTTCCCCATTTGATGTGTAATTCAAAGTGAATGGCAACAGTCCAAAGAATCGTGCTGATCTATACACGGGATTCACGCAATTAGAAAAATTGAAGGTGTTTGCAAATTTTGCATCAATTGCGGCTTGTAATGGAGACGCCGTTTTTGGCGTCGTTGACAATGACGAAGTCGACGATACTTGTGCTGATTGAACTACGGTTTTCTTTGAATTCACTTTCCACATTTTTACGGAGAAAATGTCTGTACACTTTTTCCACAGAAACGCTAAACTTCAACTGATGTGTATTAATATATCGTTAAAAATGAAGGCATAAATTGATGATAGAAATGAAGAGCCTTTATTGAAGGCAACTCGATTTGAAGCGTTAATAATTTAAAAGCACGTGTTCCATATAATTTGATTAGCATTGCCCAATCGATCGGAATCATATAGGAGGGCCTGAGAGTGAAAGTAACCGACAAATAGTTGAGCGTAAAAGTGACCTAACTGCATACAAAACACATGCTACCGTCACGCTGTTTTGTATGGAGTTAGGTCACTTTTACGCTCAAGTTTTTGTTGGTCACTTTCACTCTCAGGCCTCCATATGAAATTCCAACGGCGAAGTCGTTTATTTGTTATCGTAATGTTTCTCATCCAAAAGCTTGAGCCTATAACTTGGTTGAATTCGTCATTGTCGTTGTTAATTTTGTTTTTATTGTTGTATCGAATAATTCGATTCGAATTGCACGATTATCATTAGATAAATGGCAGTTATCCCTATTAACTAACATACTTTTAGAATTCAAAAACTTCACGTTCAATCCGGATAAAATGTTTACTATTATGTCAACCCCGTTTGGATAAACAATTTTGAATTACCCAGGCCATGCTTTAGATTAATTTGCTTTGCTTTCATTCGATGATAATCAACAATTTATGTAAAACGTTATTAAAACATGGTGTATTAACAAATATTTAATAAAATTAATACACGTAAACAAATAAATTAGTTTGATTGCTTTGTTTTTCATTGTTTGTTATTCGGTTCTGGTGGAGTTTGTCCTTTCCCTTTTATCGGAGAATCAAATTGAATGAGAATGGTTAAATATGTTGCAACTGATCCAATGATGGAATACAGTATAGTCCAATCGATTGTAAATAGCCCACAAGAAACTGTCGGGCATCTATGCTGGAGCTGCTGCGAAAATTGAAGTAACTAGAAATGAAGCGAGAACTTTTCATTATTTTAGTTTTATTACGTTTTTGAATGGCTTACATATTTTTCCAGCGACTCATTTGGGCTTTTGTTTATGATTTTGTGAATTATTATCGACGTCCCATTGCCCTGTTTCATTTTCATAAAATATTAAGTAATTAAATCGAAATTCACACAGTTTTTTCCGCAATATTTCAAATGAAAACCTCAATCATAAGTGTGCTAGCGCAATTCATCGATGATAAGCAGTAGGCTGCATAAAAGGTGCAATTGATCAAGTTCACATAGGTCAATTGACTTGTTAGCTCATTCTTCTGGGTAATGTTTCGATAAATGGTGTAAAATGACAAAAGAAAATGAGATAAGCACAGTCCCATACTGATCATAATCTATCAAGTAAAAATATGTTTATTTTATCATAGTTTTAAGAGAATAAAAGTAAATTTTTACTACTTACTTGAAATGAATAGCATAAATTGATATTATCCATAACTTGACTCAGTTTATTATGAAGTCCACACATTGTTTTCACAAAAAATATCTGATCAATTTTATTGATTTCAATTATTTGCACGGAATATTTCAAGAGGCGTTTCCTAATCACACAATTTTGTGTGAAATTAGAAATTTTATGATTTCAATTGAATGTATTTAATTTGAAAGTAAAACAAAAAATTTTTGTTAATACAAAATTCAAGGTCATTACCCAAGAAGAGCATTCATCAATCTGAAACGAGATCTTAGGCACATCAAAAGGAGTATATACTGTTTGTACAGCGCAGCTGATTGTCCAAAGACCAGTGTATTGGCACACATGTGAATGAAAATGGTGAAATTGGTCTCATTTTCGAACAACCACGAATAGCTAAAATATACAATAATCGTTCCAATCCAGGTGAACAAGGCTGTAATCTTCAGAAAATGTTGAACGAACTTTTTCTCTTTTTCACAATCCACATAAACTGCAAAAGCCCTAATCTAAAAGTGTAATCCAAGAATTGTGAGTTGGGGATGAAAAAACTGCATTTTCTATCCGTTCCTATTACCTCTTTGTCGAATGCATTTAGCATCTTCAGTATATCAACCAAGCGATGACGATTCAGCATATTTATTACGGTTGAAATTGAACACAGAAATGAACCAATTGTTAAAAGGACTCGTATGCTGCGAATCAAAATCGAAGTTTCAACATCTTGAGCCGTAACCGGAATCAAAAACGATGCACTCAAGAAGCCAAACACGCTAGACCATGACACCGAAAATATAAACCAAAAAATGTCCTTGAAACGAAGTTCGCTGCATTCCATTTCACCGTTTACTGTGTAATTTATAGGAAATATCATGAGACCAAACTTTTTTGAAATTTCGTAAACTGGAATTGCACAGTCAAAGATGGTCATTGATGTTGCTTTCGGTGTTGTATTCTTTGACGTTTGTGAAGGTGATTTTTTTATAGTTTGCAATGACGTTTTCGATGATCCACTTTCCTTGGTAGTTGACTTTTTCATTTTGGAAACACGAGCTTTACACGTAATGGTACCATTCAATGTTAGATAATACAAAAAAGTACAATTCAATATAGGTATTTTAGTTGCATCTATCAATCAATATAGACTTTTTATAAATGTTTTGAACTAGTTTGAATATCAAAGAACCGCTTTACGTGGTGTTCGCTCAAATACTAACTTTATACAATTCTTTGTGGGTAGTACTATGTCATAATAACATTGAAAAGCGGTCATATGAATAATTAAAATTTAATCAAGAATGTTATTGCCACTGATTAATTTATTGAACCTTTACATTCACAAATGAATTAGGCTTGGGTAAATGTTATTTAAATCACTTTCCCATCGATAAGCTCACTCCTGTTGAATTCTCTTGAATGTTGTGCACTTATAATTTCAAGTGCATTCATCTCAATCAAATAGCTAACTTATAAGCAAAAACAGTTTTGAATGTTGGATATAACGAAAGGACTTTTTCAGAAAGATCTAATAAAACTGCTCAATGCAAAAATATATCGATGAAATATACTGTTGTTCCACTATTCACTCAAGCTTGGACATGAAAACACTGAGCAAAAATGTATTTGAGTATAAAGTGGGTTCAATCATTGTTTTGGAGTATGATAAGCCAATACACCAACCTATTGCATATTTCAGTAGGAATCCTTCTTTTTTTAAGAACTTTGTTGTAAGCAAAAATTCATTCAATAGTCTACAGTATATACAATGGACAGCAAACATTCTCCTACAAAATATTTAAAATTGATCGATTCACTTACGAACATTCTCCAAGTCCCATTCAATACCGTTTGATAAAATCGGTAAGAGTTCCCGTCTGACTTTTTGAAAATAATCCGTAGTGTGTCGCGTGCAGGTAAAATTCCCGTTATTTGTTCATCGTGATTTGTGAACACATGCTCAACGATTTCAAGAGCCACAACACTTATCTAATCTGAGTGCTTTTATTAATAATATTGTTCGAATTTGAATGATTGCTACATTGAACCGTGACTTAGTCGGGTATTCCATTGGAATTAAAATAGAACGAAAAAAGCAAAGCTTGTCATTACGTGGAGTGAACATCCGATATAACGCGTGTTTTCAGCATTCCTACTCATTCGACAATTAAGGATGTCATCTGTTTATTTGAAATTTTGATTACAATAACAAGAAATGTCGAACACGACAGCAAAAACCAAAAATACATTGATTCATATGGACACTGAATGTACAGAATGTGACAAGAGCGAAACTAGTGAAAATATTCATGAACTAACATGTAATCACAGAGTTGCTATCTTAATTGCATTGAAAAACACAACAACAACGCCTGAAAGTAGTCAAAATTGCAAGTTTCAATCATTTAAACATGAATAAACATGTAAAGCACGTACACATTTCTGTGACGTAAAAAGTCTCATGCTATCGGATCGTGATGTCGAATTGGTGTAAAAATGGCTGGTCATGTCAAACTCTACAATTACACTACTCTCAATCTCACCCATAGATCAAATATCCCACAGCTTCAAGTTGTACGACAATATTTTACTGTTGATCATTGGTGTGTTGAAGAATTTTCCGTTGGCACTTTCTCTGAAAGATTTACAACCGAGTAATGTGCTGAAGTCCGATTGCCGATTGAGACTACAACAAACAATGATAACAAAATACAATAAACAGGAGTTTAATAACATGAGAGTATTTTTGGTAGCGTAAAATGAATATGAGTGCATTATTGCTTCGTACGTATTACAATAGAATTCGCATTGCAAATGGCAGATTGTTGTCTGGTAATAGGGTATGCACTATGCAGTAATATTTTGTAGATGTTTTTGTTTGTAGAAATATTTGGATTTTAATAGCATTGTTAAAAATACGTTGAACAGTTAGTTTCGTGAGTCTTTGCCGCTAAAATGTCTCTAGGCTGTTTGGGTTATCAGTTCGATTAGTGTGCTGTAAATTTGTCACATTTCTGATTGATCGTTCGGAATTTGACACGATCAGGCTGGGAGTTCATGATGTTCGTCATCTTGCGATCGAGATGGGAAAATTTCTAAACGAAAGGGATTCGTACAAGTAGAAAACGTGCAGGCTTCAATCAATTCGCGAACCATTTTTTCAGCGATATCAATTGCAAAATATTTGTATGGATTGTTCAAATGCCTTTTATGCACCAAATGGAAATTTTGCCATTTGAATCATTTTATCTAAAATGAAAGATAAATAGTGCAGCTCAATTGTATCTCCTTTGTTTCACAAAACACTTTGACTGATGTCAATTCAATTGAAAAAAGAAATCTTCATTGATCGCTATCGTTCTTTATTGATTATTGACTGTCACGCCACTGCCACCGCCGCCACAACAAAACTGATTTTTATGGTTCGGTTTTGTTTTTAATCAATTGAACGCGCTTTTGAATCGTAAAAATCTGTTTTTAGTTCGTTATTCGTGATAACAATTGAAAACGTGAGTTGTTTATAAAATCGATTTGCATAATTTACACGTTTCTACGTACACGTGTTGAACACTTTAATCAATGGGATTCAGTCTATAGAATACACCTTCTATTGGAATTTCAGATTTCAATTCTCAGTTGATTTTGTGTCTGAATAGTTGATGATTCGTTGAAACATGGAAAAAACAGCATACGCTATCTTATCACAGAACGTCGTTAACATTCAATTTGTGCAGAATCAGCGACAACAGAATCGGATAAAAATTATAGTACAAATAATAATTGAAATTTATAGTTCATAAGCCGTAGCTTATTTTTGTTTTGGCAAGAATAAGTACAATGAAGATATTTCGTCGACGAGTTAACATTGTAAGAAAACATCGATTTTCATCAAATTGTGGAATGTTTTATCATTTGTGATTATACCTAATTTAAGTGGGCCATTTGAAAACATTTTGTAATATTTATTTTTTTCTTTCAATGAAATCACCAAAATTGTTTATATTTTCCCATGAAAATAATAAGGAACTGATAACGGCCACTAATGAAAACGCATTGAAAAGTGTTCTCTTCCTTGTCTAACAAAATCAAATCACATGTGGTGCAAAACAAAAAGCAGATAAATTCACACTCAAAACGTATATAGTTATTGGATATATTTAACTGTTGCTTCATTGTTGGTGTGGCACTTGTCATCAATAAAAAAGTCACAAGTATCTGTCGAATCTTATGTCAAATGATAGCTGCTGAATCTTGGGTAAACTACTTATAGACCGCGAATGTAGGACGATCACAGCAGTTTGATTGTGAACGCGAAACACTCTCAACGTACATCAATAATTGACTAGAGCAAGAACTATTCTGTTGCGGCAAATAGGGTTTCAGTGACAGTGAAAAAGTGAGACTTTCAACTAAAATACTTTAATTATGATTGACAGTTTTATAAATGAAATATAATTGCAAATAAACAAGAATGTAAGCGTCGCCAATCAATTTCGATTTAAAATATCGTGAACAGAAAGTTAATTCAAGTCCAATTTTAGGGAATTGAAAGTGTCCAATAATAAGTCGAAATGTTTTTTGGAGGAAGACGATTCGAAAACGTTGAGCTTTTTGACTTTGGTATTTCGTTGAAATTACATTCTTTTTCGAAAACAAACTCACGTTTTCTTTTTCAAATGTTTTAGTATCGGTTTGCATCTCGTTATGATTTGATTTTACTATCTACTGGAATATTCTTCACATTAATCAAAGCATGCAGTTGGCCATTCCTTATTGTTATTTATGGCGAATTCACGTCTCTGCTTGTCGATCGTACTTATGGAATTGGAAGGAGTACGCCAACTTTATTTCTCAAATGGTTCGGAGGTGGCAAAATATTGTAAGCATTCATGCTATTCCGCTATTTCGGATTCTCTCATTCAATTTTAAAATGATTCAAAGGACTGATGCTACCACCGAAGCGAACAATGCCGAACTCATAAATGATTCGATTGCATTTTTTATTCTATCAGCGATTGAAACCGTTGTTCAACTAATAGTCGGAATCATTTGTGTTGACTGCTTCAATCAGGCGGCAATCAATCAAGTTACCCAAATTCGAATCAAATACTTTGCATCGCTTATGCGACAAGACATCGGCTGGTATGACATCGAAAAAGGAAAATCGAATTTCACTGTGCGACTCGCCGAGTAAGTCACTCTTTTATCTGTGTAAAATTATCATAAATGGCTTTTGATAATATAAGTTTTACTACCAATTAAAGTGATATTGAGAAGATCAAGACGGGAATCGCAGAGCAAGTTAGCCATTTTCTGAATTTAATATCGAGTTTCGTGATTTGTGTTATCATGTCATTCATTTATGGGTGGAAATTGACGTTGATTGTGATATCGTATATTCCAATACTGTGCATAATGAACATCGTAATAGTTAAGGTACATTTACGGAGTTATAAACACCACATATTTTTCATATTATGTGATCTTCAATTTTTATATCTACGCCGCAGGTTCAGGCAATGTCATCGACGAAAGAATTAAACGCCTATGCAAAAGCCGCAAATATTGTCGAAGAGGTACTGGGTGGAATTCGAACTGTTTTTGCCTTCGGAGGCGAAAAGCTCGAAGTCGAACGATACAAAAAGCATTTACTACCGGCTGAAAATGCCGCCAAAAAGAAGGGGCTGTTTGCTTGTGTCGGTGATGCCGTTACGCGTTTCTTGTATTTCGCCAGTTGTGCTTTGTCATTCTGGTTCGGCGTTCAGTGGGTTATTGAAGACAGAGATAAAGAAGATAAGAGCTACACTACAGCTGTTCTGATAACAGTAAAATAACAAGCACTCTCGTTGAGATTAAATGGATTTTTTTATTGATATTTCCGGTTTTTTTTTCTTTTAATTGCAAACTTTGTTTAGGTGTTTCTTAGTTTACTCACCGGCGCAGAAAATTTAGCTCGGATCTCACCGTATATAGAATCATTTGCAGCCGCACGTGGAGCGGCGAAAAATATTTTCGCTGTGATTGATCGACCATCAAAAATTGATTCAATGAAAAACGATGGGAAATTGTTGGATTTAACTAAAGTCAAAGGGAACATTGAATTTAAGAATCTTTTCTTCAACTATCCATCTCGATCCGATGTACAGATATTGAATGGCTTGAATTTGAAAATCGAAGCCGGTCAAACGGTGGCGCTTGTCGGTAATTCAGGCAATGGAAAGTCAACTTGTTTGCACCTTTTGCAACGATTCTACGATCCAGACGGAGGCGCCGTGCTTATCGATGATTGCGACATACGCGAATTCAATATCAATTCGTTGCGATCGAGTATCGCGATTGTCAGTCAAGAGCCGGTACTGTTTTCAATGACAATCGGTGAAAATATTCGCTACGGTAACCCAAGTGCTACTGATCAACAGGTCATTGCCGCTGCTCAAATGTCCGGCGCTCATGATTTCATTTCTCGTTTGCCGCAAGGCTACAACACAATGGTCGGTGAGTTTGGTTCACAGTTCTCGGGCGGACAGAGACAAAGAATCGCCATCGCACGTGCTCTCATTCAAAACCCGAAAATCTTACTTCTGGACGAGGCCACATCAGCACTCGACTATCATTCGGAAAAGTTTGTGCAACAAACACTGGATCGAGCAAGCGAAGGAAGAACAACAATCGTTGTATCGCATCGAATGTCTGCCATTAAAAATGCCGACCGCATCGTATTCATTGACAAAGGCCAAGTCATCGAAGACGGAACTCACAGCGAATTGATCGAATTGCGAGGGCGCTATTACGAAATGGTAAAATCCACTCATGACGATCTAGAAGAATCAAACGGATCGGAGAAAGATAAAGAGAATGACGAAAGAAAAATTTCGGAAGTCAAACAGCATGCAGGGTATCACGAGTTCTCATCGGAGGAGTTCGAAATTTTGGAAAGTCAAGAGCGAGATTCGGTTCAATATTGGAAGAGCTTCAAACGTATTTTGGGACTTCTCAAACCTGACTGGATCATTCTGACTGTAGCCATCGTGTCGGCCATTGTATTAGGATTCTCCCTTCCTCTTTTCTCAATCGTTTTCTCTGAAATCTACGCTGTAAGTTTTATAATAACACGTCAACTTCAACTTACTTAATCAATCAAACTTTATAACTTTTTTCCCCGAAAATTCCCAGACTTTGTCCATTCCGAACAGAGAAGAAGCACTGGAAAAAGTACTTCAGTTGTGTTTGATATTCTTAGGAATTGGCGTGCTCATGTTTGCAATGGCGATTTCTCAGACTTTATTATTGGCAAAAGCTGGTGCCCGTCTGACTCGGCGTGTTCGGTAGGGCATTTATTTTGAAAATGAAATTTATTCAAATGCATTTGAGTTTCAAACAGAATTCGTTTGCAGGCTAATGACTTTTGGAGCGATGATGCGTCAAGAGTGTGGCTGGTTCGATGAAGAAGACCATTCTGTGGGAATTCTGGCATCCTATTTGAGCGGAGACGCCGCGAGTGTTCAAACTGTAAGCCAATCGTGATTACAATCATATTCAACTGAACTGGAACCAAATTTTTCATTTGAATCGTTCAATTAGGCCGTGGGATTCCCATTGTGTGTGATTCTTCAGTCGGTTTCAACGGTGGTTCTCGGTATAATCATTGCGATTTCCACATCTATCAAGCTTACAGCCATTTGTTTTAGTGCCTTCGTCTTGATGGTGGTGATTGTTTTGATGGAAGCCAGGTAAGCATCAGAGCAAATTCGAAAAATGTGCTAGCAATCAAAATCAGAAATCCTCCTTTTACTCATCATATAGAAATTTATCGAAATCAGAAATGGTTGAAAAGGATGCAATTGCTGTAGGAATGAAAGTCGCAACTGAGGCGATTTCGAACATCAGAACCGTTGCTAGCTTAAGTAAATGATTTGATTTCCAGAGGCCAAGCGAAACAAAGAGATTTTTTTACAATAAAATTCGAATTTTTAGGACAAGAAAAGTCGACGATTTCACGGTTTACCAGCGAAATGGAAAATGTTCAAAAAATTTCTCGAAAGAAGGTTATTTGGCGTGGACTTTTGAATTCTATTACTCAAGCAATTCCAGGCTTAGCTTATGGATTCGCACTAGCCTACGGAGGCTATAGGGTGGCGGAGAGGGAGCTGCATTATAAATATGTTATACGGTATGATGACTCATGTACACGAAAATGAAGAAATTTGAAATATTCCTTTGAATTCTTTTCAATTCTCTAGAGTTTGTGAAGCAATGCTATATGGAGTCATTGTTATGAGTCAAACATTAGTGTTCGCTCCAACAATTATAACAGCTTTTACGGGAGCTCATCGTTTATTCAAAATTATTGATCGCAAACCATTGATTGATTCGCCGAATATTTCGAACAAATGTAGAAAAGCAGACAAATGCAACGACATCAAATTCCAGCGGATCGATTTCCGATATCCAACTCGACCAGATGTTCAAATTTTGAACGGATTCAATTTGAATATTATAGAAGGGAAGACTGTGGCATTGGTTGGACCGTCAGGTAAAACATATTTGATTTTTTTCTTCGATGGAAATTTTTAACAAACCGATGTTTGTAGGCTGTGGTAAATCGACATGCATCCAACTATTGCAAAGACTGTACGATCCGGAACAAGGGCGTGTTCACATCGGTCTCGACGAAATATCCAGTGACATTACTTTGAAAGATCTTCGATCGAAGCTCAGTATTGTGTCTCAAGAACCAACTCTATTCGATAGAACCATAGCTGAGAATATCGCGTACGGTGATTGTAGTCGAAAAGTGACAATGGACGAAATCATCGACGCCGCCAAAATTGCAAACGCACACAATTTTATTGTTCAGTTACCTCAGGTACATTGTTCCATTTCATTCACGATAAAAATGTTCCAATAGAAATTTCCATTTGATGGCATAGGGATACGACACAAATGTGGGCAGCAGAGCCACTCAACTCTCTGGAGGACAAAAGCAACGCATTGCCATTGCTCGAGCGCTCATTCGCAATCCGAAGATCTTACTTCTCGATGAAGCGACGTCGGCTTTGGATCTGCACAGCGAAAAAGTGAGTTTTATTTTGTGAAAGTTGGAATTATAATCGGCTAATGTTGATCGGTTTTGTTGTAGACCGTTCAAATAGCATTGGACTCGGCTCGATCGGGACGAACTTGCATAACCATTGCTCATCGTCTCAGCACAATACAGAACGCAGACATCATTTGCGTTGTTCAAAGCGGCAGGATAGTCGAATCGGGCTCCCACACCGAATTGCTCGCATTGAATGGAATCTACACTCGTTTGTACAATGCTCAGAAATAATCTAAAATCTAAGAATGAATACCAATTGTATATCCAAAGTGCCAAAATTCATATTAAAGATTTCACTTGGCTAATTTTATTCTATTTTTCATTTCGATATTCCGTATGTATGTAACAAAATCAAACGTATGAAAAGAGAGCATGTATTATAAGCAGTTTTTTGGACAGTAAACGAGTAAATAAAAACACCAAAGGTTGAGTTAACCCAAATCAACTATTAAATGACTCAAATTCGAATGCATTTCGAGAAGCGCATTGGGCGAGAAGCGCTGTGATTATTGTATATGTAAATCGGTTGTTTAGCGAAATCACTGTGTATTTCTCTCTCTCTCTCTCTCTCTCTCAGTCATATCTTAGTTTGATTTAAGTTTGAGTTTGAGTTTATTTCGAATCAAATAGGTAAGAATTAGGATTGTAAATGTGTAGGTAGATAAATAGATAAATATCTATAGATGTCTTCATCTTGTGTTATTTCAGGATCACAGTCCGTCAGTCCCCGCTACGGCCCATCCCTCGACACTGTCTCCAACTATCCCAAGCAAAACTCCACACTGAATCCATGTTGCGTTGGATGCAAACCATTTTAGGTGTCAACTCTTGATACCCGTACAAATCTACACTGCATCCACACGGTCATTTGAAATTAAAAATGGTGTCAAACGACTTCACACTCTGCTATACTATAGCCACACGGTTCTACATTCAAAACTGTGTGAGAACAGTGTCAGATATGCGTTAACGCAACGTGGATTCAGTGTAGATTTTTGCTTGGGTATAGAGACAAAAAAAAATTCCTAAGCTTTTGAAATAAATGGGATAAAAAATGACAAAAATAATAATCTTCTGATTGTTTAATTAATCCGAACGTATTATTAATCTTGATGAGTTTTTTTTGCGATGACTGTTCTGTAAATATTATAGAAGCGCTTGATTAGCATAATGATCATTTGCCCTAATATCTTTCGTTGGAAATAAATTTTGTATCCAGCCGTAATTTTGCGTGCAAATACATTATATTGTATATTCCTAGGGGGTAGACACGGATTCTAATATTGGTCTAATATCACTAATTTGTCTAATTTTTGGAAATATATCCCAAGTTTCATTTAGTTTTCTCTAATATTTCTAATAATCGATTGAAAGTGCTAATATCTTCTAATATTCTCGTAAAATGTTAACCATCATTGCCTCTGTACTTAGTATATGGTCCATACGAAATATACAGAGGCAATGTTAAAGGATTGGCAGATTTGCTTACAAACAACAAAAAATAAACAAAACAAAAATCTCCATAAGGAAATGCATTGGCAATGTAAAACTAAATGGCGAGCATAATGCGTTGAAATTGGCAGACTTGTTGACAAATAACGGTATTGTTCACCGTTTTGTTTCATCAAACAAAACAAAAATCTTCATAAAGAATTGTATTGGCATAGCATTTTCCATGTCAAAGTCATCAAACATTTTAGTTTCTAATATTTTCCAATTTTCTCTAATTTACTGTATTAGATTCTAATTTACTAATCGTGTCTACCCCCCCTAGGTATATTCCTTATCAAATTCTGTTGGGTCGTTTTGATAATTTTTCCTTCGCATTTTTTTTGACGCGTTGCATACGAGGGGTTTTAAAGCGGTAAATTCCAAATGGTCTCACCAGTTCGATTCTGCACGCAAGTGGGAATCATTTACTCAAATTGAATAAAGTGCAAAATAAATCCATATCTCCATTTAATGAAGGAACTTCGTAATTAGTTCATCTGAAATCCTCGAATGGTTTCATTCGTTTTTCTTACCATTTATTGTTCAACTTGGTGACATTGGGCACAGTGCAAATAGCAAATTTGGTACGAAACGTAATTGTCAAAAAAAAATTCCACGACACGTTACAGTTTTTAAATTGCTGTGGCGATTGTCAAAGAGACGAACGAATAAATGTATAAACAACCTCCTTGTATAAACAATTTAGTTTAAAACGAAGGGCTTGTGACGTATCAAATACGGCTGAATTTCCATTTATTTCACAAAAATGATGTCATATTTCGAATTTTTGGATTTTTTTTCATATATTTGACGGACATTGCAGCGGAATTCGTACATTTTTTTTGTGTTTTCTAACATTACTTTGAGAATGGATGAATAGCTTTTCATAGCCCGTCTTGGAATATACCATTCAAAGTTTAAATTCGTGAAATATTTGAAAATATATCATAAAATTTTGTTCGTCGCAAGCCCTTCGGTTTAAAATGCGGTTTTGATTGTCATTCATTTGGCACTGTGATTTACTAAATTATTGATGTCAATGTATTTGAAAGATCGAAATTTGCGTCATTCATACGACAGACAATTCGGAGAGCTCTTCGAATCTTTCTCAGACGTTTAATAACCATGAAAAGCAAGCAATTGTAGCAGTTTGATCGAGAGTAGCAAACACTCTGGACGTAGGCTCGGCATTGGTCATTAAAATCACAATCTTATTGTCAGTGATATTTCAGTGGCAGTGGAATAAAGTGAAAATTTATAGTTTTAATTACTTCAATGAGGGACTTGATCGATTGCGCAGATAATTGAGGCGAACTTCCACAAAAAAAAACTACAACTGAACGAAAATGTAAGAATTACCTGAAAAATAAAGTGATCGCGAGTATTATAATGATACATTTTCATTAAAAAAATAATTTCCAGGAAAATTAGTGCAAAGTGTTGCAAGGAAACGGAATGTCTCCCGAAAAATGAATGTTTCGGTAGTGAAAGTGCGAGTACACCGAGTTTTTTCTCTTTGGTATTAAAACGATATAGCTTTGAATGGGTTTGACGCATTTTAATCAATTGAATTATTATTTCAAATGATATAGTACCGTTTTGCCTCGCGATGGGACTTAAGCTTATTATTCATTGGAGTATTTTTCACATTCATCAAGTCATGTGCCTTTCCGATGATGGTAATCATTTATTCCGAATTCACGACTCTTCTCGTGGATCGTACGTATGGAATCGGAACGAGCACACCGACTTTATTCCTCAAATGGTTCGGAGGCGGACATGTATTGTAGGAATCGTTTTTTAATATTTCAGTTTTTTCTGTCATATCAATTTTATTGATGATTTTATTTCGATTCATGTTCAAAAGGACAAATGCAACTGTCGACGAAAACAATGCAGAAATTATAAACGATTCGATTGCTTTCTTGATTCTATCATTGATTCAATCAACTGTTCAATTAATTGCCGGAATTATTTGCGTCGACTGTTTCAATCAGGCGGCAATCAATCAAGTCACTCGAATTCGAATCGCGTACTTTACATCACTCATGCGACAAGATATCAGTTGGTATGACATCGAGAAAGGGAAATCGAATTTTGCTACGCGACTCGCTGAGTAAGGAGCTCATGATTTCGATTTCAAACACAATTTAAATGATCATTCCGTCAATTACAGAGACATCGAAAAAATAAAGACTGGCATTGCAGAGCAAGTTAGCCACTTTCTCAATTTGATTTTGGTGTGCGTATTCAATGTTGTTATGTCATTCATTTATGGATGGGAATTGACGCTGGTTGTTGTCTCATATATACCGATATTATGCATAATGAATCTGCTTATCACTAAGGTAAGAAAATAGATTTTATGGAATGGCATTAAAAAAGATAAACACGCCTTGTTTGCTAACAGTTTCAAGCAATATCATCCACGAAAGAGCTCAATGCATATGCAAAGGCAGCCAATGTTGTTGAAGAGGTGCTGGGCGGCATTCGAACTGTTTTCTCGTTTGGCGGCGAAAAAATCGAGGTTGAACGATACAAAAAGCACTTGCTACCTGCTGAAAAAGCCGCTAAGAAAAAGGGAATCTGTGCATGTATTGGTGACGCTGTGACGCGCTTGCTTTATTTTACTACCTGCTCCATTTCATTTTGGTTTGGAGTTCAATGGGTACTGGACGATCGAGAAAAAGAAAATAAAATTTACACAGCAGCAGTTCTAATGACGGTCAGATATTGAAGATAATTTGTTTATTGATTTTTAAAATTACTGATAAGAATTCACTTTCATCGTAATAAATAGGTTTTTAATGGCTTGATTACTGCTGCTGATAACTTAGCTCGACTGCCGCCGTATTTGGAGATTTTTGCATGTGCACAAGGATCAGCAAAAAATATTTTTGCAGTAGTTGACCGCATATCGCAAATCAATCCAATGTGCATTGGTGGAAAAATGTTGGATTTAACTAAAGTCAAAGGGAACATTGAATTTAGAAATCTTTTCTTCAGCTATCCATCTCGACCCGATGTACAGATATTGAATGGCTTGAATTTGAAAATCGAAGCCGGCCAAACGGTGGCGCTGGTCGGTAATTCGGGTAATGGAAAGTCAACTTGTTTGCACCTTTTGCAACGATTCTACGATCCAGATAGAGGTGCCGTGCTTATCGATGATTGCGACATTCGTGAGTTGAATATCAATTCGTTGCGGTCAAGTATCGCGATTGTCAGTCAAGAGCCGGTACTGTTTTCAATGACAATCGGTGAGAATATTCGCTACGGCAACCCAAGTGCAACCAATCAACAAATTATAGCTGCGGCAACAAGTTCGGGCGCACATGATTTCATAGCCCGTTTACCACAGGGCTACAACACAATGGTCGGTGAGAGTGGTTCACAGTTCTCGGGCGGACAGAGACAGAGAATCGCCATTGCTCGTGCTCTCATTCAAAACCCGAAAATTCTGCTTTTGGATGAGGCCACCTCGGCACTCGACTATCATTCGGAAAAGTTTGTACAAGAAACACTGGATCGGGTGAGTGAAGGGCGAACCACATTCGTTGTATCGCATCGAATGTCTGCCATTAAAAATGCCGACCGCATCGTATTCATTGACAAAGGACAAGTCATCGAAGACGGAACTCACAGCGAATTGATCGCATCGCGAGGACGATATTACGAAATGGTAAAATCCACACACGACGATCTCGAACGATCTAGTAGCATCCAATGTGAGGAAAAGCAAAGTCATAGTCAAGCTAGCGAAACGAGGCGGTACAGTGATATCAGGTATCATGAATTTACATTGGAAGGGGCAGGAGAGGACAATGAACCAGAGAAAGATTCGGTCAAATATTGGAAGAGTTTCAAACGTATTCTTAGACTTTTTAAGCCAGATTGGGTTATTGTAACCATTGCTATAGTTTCATCCATTGTGTTGGGTCTCTCACTTCCACTTTTTGCCGTTGTTTTCGCAGAAGTGTATGGCGTAAGTTGGAAATTTTTTTACTTAGCTTTTCAAAAGAAAAATCTTCATGTTTTCGAACATTACAGACATTGTCAATTCCTGATCGAAGTGAAGCATCCAACACCATCCTCACCCTGTGTTTGATATTTCTTGGTCTGGGAGTTGTTATGTTCATCATGGCAATCACGCAAACACTGTTATTGGCCAAAGCTGGCGCTAGATTGACACAACGGCTTCGGTAATTGACAAAACTTGACCAAAAATGGTTCAAATTTCAAAAAACTTAACTTCTGGTGATTTAATAATATTTGTATTTGTCGTTGCAGATTAATGACGTTCGCAGCGATGATGCGTCAAGAATGCGGGTGGTTTGATAAGGAAGAACATGCCGTTGGAATTTTATCATCATATTTAAGCGGGGATGCAGCTTGTGTTCAAACTGTAAAGCATGAATCTTTCTTATTGGCCTTCAGTATTCAATTTGATTTTTTCAGGCATTCGGTTTCCCATTGAGCATGATTCTGCAGGCTTTTTCAACCATTATCTTTGGAATGATCATTGCACTTGCTACATCGGCTAAATTGGCAGCCGTCAGTTTAACATCTTTTCTCTTTATGGTACCAATTGTATTATTAGAAGCAAGGTATCAACGGGAAGAACAATCTCTTGATGGGCTTTGATTCAAACCTAAAACACTTTTTGATTTCCCATTCAGAAACACGTCCAAATCGGAATTGGCAGAAAAGGATGCAATCGCATGGGGGATGAAGATAGCGGCTGAAGCGATTTTAAATATCCGAACTGTTGCCAGCTTAAGTAATTTTCCCATTTAATAATAAGTAATCGATCAAATGACAAGATAACATTTATTTGATTCAAGGACAAGAAAATTCGACAATTTCACGCTTTGCTAGAGAAATGGAAAATGTTCAAAGGATCGCAAGGAAGAAAATTGTTTGGCGAGGACTATTGAACTCCGTCACGCAAGCCGTTTCATTTGGAATTACATATGGTTTTGCCTTATCCTACGGAGGATATATGGTCGCAACGGGAGAGATTCACTACAAAGAAGTCATAAGGTAATAATAATAAACAAGAAATCAACAATATTTGGTTATATTTGAATTTTTCCAGAGCGTGCGAGGCTTTAATTTATGGCGTTTACTTAATGAGCCAAATGTTAGTCTTTGCTCCCACTATCACAACAGCCTTTACGGGAGCTCATCGTTTATTCAAAATTATTGACCGTGCCCCATTGGTTGATTCACCAAATATCGCAAACAAAAGTAGAAAAGCAGATAAACGGAATAACATCAAATTCAAGCATATCGAATTTCGATATCCAACTCGGCCAGATGTTCAAATTTTAAACGGATTCAATTTGCGTATTATGGAAGGGAAGACTGTGGCGCTGGTTGGACCATCAGGTAAAGTAAAATATAATTGCATTTTTTTCTTTGATGAAAATTCTTAACAAACCGATGTTTGTAGGCTGTGGTAAATCGACATGCATCCAACTATTGCAACGACTGTACGATCCGGAACAAGGGCGCATTCACATCGGTCTCGATGAAATATCCAGTGACATTGCTTTGAAAGATCTGCGATCAAAGCTCAGTATTGTGTCTCAAGAACCAACTCTATTCGATAGAACCATAGCTGAGAATATCGCGTACGGTGATTGTAGTCGAAAAGTGACAATGGACGAAATCATCGACGCCGCCAAAATTGCAAACGCACACAATTTTATTGTTCAGTTACCTCAGGTACATTGTTGTGTTTGATTCACGATAAACGTGTTCTAATAAAAAAAATTCCATTTGATGGCATAGGGATACGACACAAATGTGGGCAGCAGAGCCACTCAACTCTCTGGAGGACAAAAGCAACGCATTGCCATTGCTCGAGCACTCATTCGCAATCCGAAGATCTTACTTCTCGATGAAGCGACATCGGCTCTGGATCTGCACAGCGAAAAAGTGAGTTTTATTTTGTGAAAGTTAGAATTATAATCGGCTAATGTTGATCGGTTTCTTTGTAGACCGTTCAAGTAGCATTGGACTCGGCTCGATCAGGACGAACTTGCATAACCATTGCTCATCGTCTCAGCACAATACAGAACGCAGACATCATTTGCGTTGTTCAAAGCGGCAGGATAGTCGAATCGGGCTCCCACACCGAATTGCTCGCATTGAATGGAATCTACACTCGTTTGTACAATGCTCAGAAATAATTATAAACTCAAGCCCGAAAATATAATCTGATCGCCTGAGCGTCTTGATGTATCAAATTGTATTATATTTGTTTATATAGATTGATATGAACATTCTTGATTCACTTGTGTATAATATTTTTAGAATAAAGATGTAGAGAAAAGACAAAACAATTTTTTTTTCATCTATTCTAATCAACACTGCTTCGCTTGCGAAATTCCTGAGTCATTTTATTATTATATGCAACCGTTTCATATTGCTTGTGCTAGGTGCACAACTAAATAGCTAACGGAAATGACAACATTTCAATAAAAAAAAATGTATTGTTGTCTCAAAGTTTAAAATGCTGAATATAAGCCATTCGTAGTAGTTCTAACTGAACTACGAGATCGAAAACATTTAATTTGTTTGGATATTCGTTCGTGAACAAAAAGGAATTCAATTCAAAGTGATTCACAGTGAGATACACGGGGAAACTTTCTGGCGCTTTATTTTTTTTTTCAGAAGAAATAATTTCTTCCGAAGAATATTATTCTGGAATCGTAGAAAACAGATCGACGTCGCAATATAAATATCGTTTGTCTTGATAATTTCGGAATTCACTCATTATTTGACTGCAGCGTGTATACTAGATTTCTTTACTGGTTACTGTCTGGTATAAGTACATATAGAATTAGCGAATACAACAACCAAATGAAATAAATAAAAATTTCTAATATGTGACTGTTGATGGAAAATATACAAATTCCAGCATTTTCCAATGTTTATCGTTGCTCCTATGAAAATATGATTTCAAAAAATTCCTTCTTCTGTACCAATACCTGAAACAAAATAAAACACGTTTTCTACATTCAGGCATTTTTCATGGTTTATTTATTAATGTGTGTTGCTGCCTCCAATTATTATATTACATTGTTCAGTTTAAATAGGCTTGGTATTCTGTTTAAATAGTAATCGGACTTAAGAAGAATAGTATGTATTTTATGTCAATTAAATTTTTATCTTGAAATTTTTGCACATTGCACATTATCGATAAATATTTTATTTTTTATTTTTGATATATCCTAACAAAACATAGATTTCCGGTATAAATCCATTTTGATATAACTTTAAAGTTTAATTCACAGAGTTAAATTCGAGATGTAACAAAACTGAACGACGATATTAGGTATAAATATAAAATTTTGATAGAAATCCAAATGTTGAAGTTAAACGTAAACTTTTCCTTTCATTCCGATTGGACTCCCTTCAATGTTGCGTTTCTTGACCGACCGCGTTTCGAATTAGTATTTATTGGCACAAGTAATTTTATAATTAATTAATATGTTTCTTTTTGTATTATCAACATCGTTTTTATAGGACATAGATTAAAATAGTCCTGAATTAAATGGTAAAATTGTGAATATATTGAAGAAGGAAGAAATATCCAATAATAATATTGCGATATTAAAAGTAGTTGACTTTTACCTAAGTTTAAAATTGCGAAAGAAGTCTACGGCAAATTGAATAGATTCAAAAATGCAAGGGGATCAATCAATTTAATTGAACGGTGTGAAAATTCGAAAAAAGCACGGCTGTTCTATGAAAAGAAAATCGAAATACTTTTTATATGTATATCCTTAGTTCTTGCTTGCTACTGTTTTTGTGTCTCAACATTCAAAATAGATTCGATTTGTTGCATTTAAAATGTCAAGCATATAATTATAGATTTTGCATAAAATTTTATGAAGGCTCAATAGATATATATTTCTCATGTTTGTGTCTATCTACAGCAATATCATCAAAAATATAGTTTATATATGCAGGAACGGGTTTCTCTTTTCGGAACGGGTTTCGTTGGTTTATGTACTTGTGTATCAAAGTTGCCAAATTGTGGATGGAAGGGTCGTTGATACCATTTCTATGTATTCAGTTACTTGTTTCGTAATCAGCAATTTTTGTCGAGGTTCTGGTTCCTTGCAGTCGTTTTGTTTAAAGCTATTTGTTAATTACTTCCACTGAAGAATCTTGCAGATGGTTGAGCTTAGCTCAAATTTGCGATACAATTGTTTTCTTATTGATTTTTTCCCTCTCTGTTTTTATTTCTGTCAAAATGACAATGTTCTCTATTTCTTTGTCAAAAATCAATAAATGCAAATTTGATTTAAAATGCTAACGCGATGCTTAAATATAATTTACAGAAAAAGGATTGTTTATACAATAATTACTCTGCAAGCACGAAATCCAATTTGAAGATATGCGATGTGTCTAAACTACACATATAACAATGAATAAAAACTATGTGTTGCATTACAAATAAATTTGATCGAGGTGGGTTGAATCGCGATGAGCGATTCAATTATTTCCAATTTCAATTCGAAAATCATTTTAAAATGAAAATGGAAACAAATGGCTTAGCTGTGGTGGACATATACTTGTGCGTACGCTGTTGGAAACAATAGACTCTTTGCTTTTTTTGATAAACAAATGAAATGATTGTACTTGGGTAATTTCTTCCAACTAAACAGTGCTTACACATAAATCTTTGGTTAACTGACCGTAAGCTTAATCGAAAGACTCGCTTAAAACGTTTAAACTCGAAGGCTATATATGTTCGGAATGTGTTTTTTTCGTATGCCATATGGGTAGTACGGCAAAAAAACCAATTCAATGCTAAAAGAACTAAAATTTAAGTAGAGCCTTTGTGCTTGTGAAAAAAAAACCAAAGAACACCTCATTTGAATTCTATTTATCGGTACTGTGTGAGCCACTTGCAATTGATGAGATTGATCGATTCGAAGCGCTTGATGAGACTGAACCACTCCGTGTCGTCACTGACGATGCATCGGGATTGGCTTTGTTGCTGTTGTTGTTCGTATCGTTGGCTGGCGTTTTTTCTCTTGGGAAAAATACCATGTAATTGTAACATCATAGTTCCTCCGACGGTTGCGGATATTCGCGAACGTATTCTTTCGGGAAAAATCCGACCTAAAAAAGAAGATTACATGAATACGGTTTTATTAGTCTTGTCATCTCTCCATTTTATTCATCCATTCATTCGAGTGATTAATTGAAGCGCTTACTCGTTCCATTGTTTTACCGCGCCACCATCCCTTGCTGTCACCTTCTTTGCCGATAACAAGCACTTGACAGCCCTGACGCAATGGCAGTTGATTCGGTTCTCTTGGGCTAAAATCATACAACGCGGTTGCGACCACTTCTCGGAATGGCCACGATAAAGACTGATTCAACCTGTAACGTGGCAACAAAACGTAAACAATTGTTGAGATTTTATTGTGGAAAAACAACAAAGTTTCAAGATTATCTCGCTCTCAAGTGATTTTTTTTTTGAAAACTTACCCGGCAAAGTTTTCACCTAAATCATTTCGTTCATAGAATGAAACGAGTTCAATGATGGTTTTGAAGAGACGTCGAGAGGATAAATAATAGAGTGTGTTGTTTTTCTCCATTTTTTGGTTGATTTTCATGTGCTTAATCGTGTGCTCATCGGTTCTACAAAAGAAAACTCATTAAGAACTAAAGTGGAGAAAATGATTGTGGATTTACTTACTTTAAACTCAGCGCATACATGGTTTCATTTGGATTTGATGCACCCTGCGGTCGAACACGTAATAAATACGTTCCCACTTTGCGATTTTCCAGCCTTGCTGAGGCGGTGTCTCGCGACATCGGTCCGACAAACCAATAAAATTCGGACAATTGACGATCACATACCGGTGGTGCCAAACCCAACGTTTCTTGTTTACAACGGCCAGTCGATGAAATACATCCTTTGTGCACAGCAATCTCGCACACTTTGCACTTGTAGCCTTGATGAATGAGACCTTTCAAGAATTTGGAACAATGACGGCACATGGTAGCGCCGGATGGCGTTTCAAATGTTGTCAATTGAAATTTGTGGTCGGTACTTCGACAGCCAATCGGTTCAAGATTATCCCTATTCATGAAAATTGAATCATTTTAATGGATTTAATTTAATTAAATTTTTTATAAATTGTGTCTAAAATTACATGGCATTCTGAAGAGCATTCAACCACTTATCACGCTCGGCTTCGGTTTTCATATACAAAGTGAATGCGGTGGATTGTGTTTTGCGTGCTAATAACAGTGTAAACCGATTATCACGGCCCAAAGTTCGTCGACCAAATGATGATTCCACTCGGTAATCGCATAAATTATACGCATCGAGAAATGAATACAGGCCATTTTCACCAAGCTTCGACGCTTTTACCAGTATCATGATTTTCTCGAAGATGAATGCGTATCGATGCTTGGTTTTTTGGTCTTCGTGTGATTTAATGCTCAGTTCACCGTCCAGCAAGAAACGGCCATACTGTCGTAAATCATTGCCATTAGGTAGATTCAAGTCAAATATTCGATCCTAAAATGAAAAATAATGTTCAATGCCGTGTGGTTCGAGAAACCCGAGCTAAAAATTGTCGAAGATTAATTACTTCACACAACAACACACTTACTCGAATTTTTTGTATAATATCCAAGTGCTCGGAGTCGCGTTTCACTTCATTTATATACTGAGCAACATCAACCATTGCTTCTTTTGCTCGCTCCAGCCCACGATAGTCTTCATGTGTCTGAAAAAAAAATGAACGCAGAAAAAATAAATTGAACAAGGTAAATTAACGCCGAAAATTGTGATGTATACGACGTAATTTAGCTTACTAGTGATGTTTCTTCGACCAATTTTCCCAGTAGAAGATGATACTTCAAGATACGTTGCATCGGCACTGATAAAATATCACGCAATTGATTTTTTCCACCGCTATGCTCCTTTTGGCTTTGTTCCATACATTGTTCCACTTGGGGATTACGTTTACAGACTTCTATAAGGGTATCAGTGGCTTTTGTCATACTAGAACAATAGTCTCCATAAATTAGGAACGGTTCTCGAAAATCTAGAAACACCTGGCTCAGTTTATTCTTTGAATTCACTGAAATCGCATCTTTCAGTCGTTCGAGGAATTTCTCATGAATTTCAGCCAATTCCTATGGAAATCATAATAATTCAATTCCACGTTCAAAATCATCAGCATTTAATTTCGTGTGAATTTATTCGAAAACAACAGCAGCAGCTGTGTTGTACCTTGATTTTTGGATAGATTGTCTTCAATTCATCGCGACTCAGCAATTTTTCCATTGGTTGCATAAATTTGAACTTTAATGCTTGTAACACATCGAAGTAATTGCTTTCCGTGTCAATTAATTCACGTATGACAAAATCCCGTTGTTCATAGTTTGACGTTGATGCTGTTAGCTATATGGTTACAAAAAATAATTAGTTGGATCGTAACATTAGACAATGTGGTTGTTGTTGACGAGATGCGAGAAGGGTTTATGAGCATGCAGCAGCAGCAGCAACAACAATACCAAGCCAAGCGCTCAGTAACTTTGTCGATAAAATGACCGAGCAAAAATAAAACGACCGAACAAAAAATAAAGCTAGAAATATTTGTTTATGCAGAAGGAATGAATGGAATTTCTCGGTAGTATCGCGAGAGGAAAAAATGAACGAACTACATAAAAATAAAGAAGTAAAGAAAATAACAACCAAAGAACAAGTATACTTTGAAATGGAAAATATTCGCATTAACAGCTGCAAATGCTAGTATTGGTTGGTTGTGGGAAAGGTATTAAAAATCAAACTAAAGTATTTTAATCAAGTGTTTTTTGTTGTTGGTTTTGGTTTTCGTTCGAAAAATATTTGTTTTCCCGCGAAAATATATTGAGAATGGAATGTTCTGGTACAGATATTTGCACAGTGTGCCAAACAAGAGATGAGATAGAAAATGTTTTTAACACGCCTGGTTTTGAGGTTGGCGAGCGATAGATAAGGGGAATGTAAGCAATAAAATGAAAGGATTTAAGCCAACAGAAAAATTGTTATTCAAAAAAAAAAAATACCTGCGGTCGACTAGCTCTCTGTATTGCACATAAATCGTGGTACACCTCTTCTTCTTTCGTATTTTGATCATCCGCATGACCGTTACAATGTGCGTTCTCCGTCGTTCTGGATTTTAAATCGACCATCGTTTGTTTTTCGGTATTAATCAGACACACCAGATGTGTATGGGCGCGAATGAATGGTGTATGAATGTTTTTTTTATGTGGTCAATTTGCATGTGGGTACAATGTTCGAGTTTGCATACAATACAAATGTGTTATGGAGTGTGATAAACGCATATTCGTTCGAATATATTGCACACATTTTTCATGATGTCATGGAATTTGCATCGACCATTTGGATCGTCCAGCAAACAGGTGGAATAGAAAAAAAGGAGAAAAAATAGAAAAAAAAATAAACGAAACGATAATAAATCCTACGTTGTGTAATGAACAAAAAATAAATCGAATATATGTCGTGGTAATTAGAGCAACGATTCGATTTCTGGTGAAAATGTAATTTATCATGGGATTGAGGTCACAACCAGATTCAATCTATAAATTGATGAATGTTTTTGTTCTTCCTATCATCGGAAAATAGCACAAAAAAACCAAATTCAAAGTAAAACCTACAAATTCAAATGGAAAACAACAAAAAAAAAACGTTGCGTGGTGGGTTTTCGTGTGGAGAGGATCCACCAAGCACGAAATCGAATCAAACCATGGTTTTTCACGAGACAAATTTAATAAACAGATATGACATGAGCCCGACGGTATTGAGCGAAATGATAAATGAGACAGAGAATTAAAATGGGAAAATGTTTACGAGCGACGAGCGAATGTCGGTGTTGGCGGTGGCGTTGGAAGAACGGTGGTGGTATTTGTGGATAAAATTGATGAGATTGAAACTGAATGCGCAATAAAGAAACGAGCTGATGTTTTTCTTTGGGTGCGTGCGGTGGAACACAACATACTGTGTCGTTCTGTCTTCGGCTGATATATTGCTAAGCCAATGTAAATATCATTAGCACTTCGTCTCCTTCTACCACGCTTCCATTCAGATGCTCATGAAGTGCAAGCAATTCCAACGAATGACTATGTGATTACGGGCAAAATGAGATGATTTCATTTAATGGTTATTCCAGCTACACGCACATTCTGTGCTGCACACAGCCTAGGCAAGGGCTCATTCATCAAATAACAATGGCAGGATATTTGCACGAATATACCAAACACATTTTGCTTGTTTTGAAATTTTATTCGAAAAATGCTACGTGAATTGTCTGTGAAAAAGAAAACCCATTTATAGAACAAAAAAGCATCGACGAAAGAAGAAAAAAGCGCAGACGATAGATATAAAGAGCGACGGCGAAAGTTCATCACGTACAAGGACGATTAAGCGAGTAGGATTTTCTTGAAAATAATATGCGAAAATCGATTTTAATTGCAAATTTATGCAGGGCAAATTTAAACAAAATTCGAGAAAAGGAAGGGAAAACAATTTCCAAGTGGAAATTGAATTAATGATTTTTTGACTGTATGTCACCGTTATGAAAAGCGTCCAGTTCGACAAACGGCGACTATACCTCCGATAGTCATTCATTGTAGGTCTATGGGCGTGCTTTACTGAATTACCCTCAATTCGAACGACAAAAATGTCATTCAGTTGATTGGATCTCTCAATCACAGTTAAACAGCCAAACGTTGCCGCTGGTGTACAACAACATCATTTCACCTTTGACATTGAATTTTCCATCCGACCGAACCTTGTTTAATATTTCCGAAAAGGTTTCTGCGTGAATGGGTCCCATGCAAATTGGCTGAATTCTCATTTGAAACTTAAACATTTTCAACAGAATGCCGAAGCGAGAGCCGAGGAAAAAATAAATGGTGCTGCTGGCAACGATGTACGTGTTGTGCCATGAATGAAAAGAAGTGTAAGAGTCAACTCCTATTCATCAAAACGTTATAACCATTATCAATGAAATAAAAAACAAAATGAATAGCTCTCTTAATATCTACTTTTCGCCAACTTTTGAGTTCGAAGTTTCATGTTTCTCACAGAAGACATAAATTCCTTGAAAATGTGCTTCTTTCGTTCAATTCTCTGTGCTTTTCGTTGGAACTTGCTTTTTCGATTTTTGTGTCTTTTCAATTTTTCGCAAGTTATCGCTCACATGGTTCTCGTCATAATTTCCTTTTATTCGAATCGCTTGTGTACGTGGTGAGAAGAGCTCAAGTTAAGGATTGCCCCGTAAATGATATTGACGTTTCGTTCAACCACGTTCAACGGATGTAAAAAGCGACGAACGACAACAAAATTGAGCAGAAAAATACCCATCATAAAATCATATATGGGGAAACATATTTACCCAATGGCGAATTGAAATGAAACGAAACAAAAATTGAATTACTTAGAAAATATGATTGGATCACACAGAGACAGCTAGCTATTTTGTGTGACATACATTTAAACATAGACGATGAAAGCGTAAAACGAGGATTACGAGACCGGAACACATATTGTGTCTTCTACTTTTATCTATCTCAATCGAAGAATAAGTAGATACAAAGCTGTTTGCTTGCTATAATGCTCTAATGTTTCCTTTTAGCGCATAGCATCATTTTGGATTTGGTTTATGCTGTCATCCGCCAGAGCAAATGACACAATGGATATAAAAACAAGAAAATATTGTGGAAGACAAACAAATTGAAGATTTTTCCGAAATATATGTGAGAGCGACAAGAAAAAAGCGTCAGTGATAACAAATAAACAGTATCTATCAATAATATAATATCTAATATTTGATCCGAAACGATTTGGCGCTTAATGTTAATGCGCTATTTTTGCCAAATACTGCGAATGGTTACAAAAATATATTTGCGTTGGAAAATTGTGTGCGCTCAGTGACTGAATGACGACAACAACAATAACAACGAGTAAAAACGCGATGAGAAAGCGTTTTCATAGACAGAAATAGATGCGCGTCTCTAACGATGTGTAGAAAGATGCTATGCTCTTGAAGCGATTCATTAATTTATCTACTTGGTGGAATGGGAAGAACAAAAATTTGAACGTCTAAGTACATGAATCGAACATAAATGCATTTAGCATACCTACCTTTGCCTACACAAAGACGCCCAATTTCAATGGGTCGCTGCAAAAAAAAACAATTCACTTGATTGAAATTCTTTGCCAAATGGAATTTATTTTTTTTTCTCTGTAGAGGATACTGTAGGCTCGTATTTTCTTTCAAATTTCTACGAATTTCTCAATTATCGAGAGAATATTTGATTCACGAATTTATTTCTTTTTTTCGCCGAACCAAAACAAAAACTGATTTTTTCTTGTTTTTCCCATTGGCTCGAAAGAGTGGTCGCCCACGGCCAAAACACATGTAGTACATTTGGTAACTAAGTGAATTTGTCGATGCGTGCGACACTTTAAGCTCTAATCAGCTTTTCCTTCGCAGTTAGAATTGAATTTCCTTTTTTATTGCTTCTTACTTCGTGCGCAAATATTGATTTAATTTCGACTTCACTGAATTTGTATCAACAATCACTCACTTTTTCGCATTCAAGTTTGTGTAACGTACGAATCATAGACCTTGAAATATCTTGAGGCAATCGACGTTGCCTGACTATCCGACGAATTTTGAATCAAACCGATTGGTTTTTTTCTTACTTGGCAAAACTGATGAATCCTGTGTAAATAGCCCCGATGTTTATGATTTGTGTTCGTGATTTTGCGTAAAAATTGGATATTACACGTATTCTCCAGCCGTAAAGAGAGCATTCTATTTGGCTCACATAAATACGCAACGGGATGCTCAATCTTTTGATCGAATTGAAAGCGTATAAGTAAAAAGAAAAATAGAACGTCCACAGTCGTCGTAGTCTGGATTCGCGCGATGTAGAAATCAAAAGAACAAACTTAACGATGAAAGTCAAATGAATTTTTAATGTGGAATTATTGAATGGCATGGCAAAAAGGATGACATTGCTAAACACTCAATGAATGAAGCGTGTTTGTCGTGGACAAATGGATGTGCGTGGCTTTTAAAACTATTAAAGTCATTGTTTGCTTAATGCTTTAGCGGCGTTGCTCGATAAAAGCGTTTGAAAATGATGAACGGCACTTAAATTCATGAGGCGAATCTTATCACGACCAACCAGTCAATATAGTACACAAACTCCAAATGGAAAACGGCTTTTCCGACCAAAAACTTTTCGAATTAAATATAAATCAAACCAAGGGAAAAACAAAAGAAGAACAAAACGAATTTATATAACAAAGCAATCTACTAGCGCGTATCGAATGCGCAAATAAATCATAAGAGCAATGACACAAATTGGCAAAAAAAAAAGTTTCTCAACAAGACAACTGTTCGTCCAATGCGAATGGTAAACCAGTGGCAAAAGTAAATAGAAAGAGGTGGAGAAAATTAGAAATAAACACGCTACCAAACACTACGAACTGAAACAAGAGAGCTAATAACAATTCGATGGAAAAAAAGAGCTACGTGAGAAAGCAACAGAGTAACAGAGTGACACACTACACACAGAGACATATCGCAAATTATTGGATATTATTGTTCGGATGCGCTATGGAATCGCTTGAATGTTTGACTCTACCTCCGGTTTTGTTGAGAAGGTCACATAGCATAGATCCTCATAGATTTTCTCTTCGATTAAGCTGACATTGGTGAAATTTTCATCGCAATACAGATACCAATCGCTACCAACAGCCGGTTCAATAATGGTTTTCGATGTTGTGCTGCTTGAAGTGCCATTCACATGATTTTCCAATTCGTCTCGATTCTCCTCGGTGCTGCTGTTTAAACTGCTGCTCGGCTGCTCATCATCAACAATTATGCTGCTGCCGCCACTGTCGCAATCATTGTTATCGACATTATTTGCACAAGCATCTTCATTGTTAGCTAATCGATCATCATTTGGCTCGGATTTTGTCTCACACTCATCAGACTTGTTTGTACATTTCGTGTGATTGTTATTGCTGTGGTGTCGATTTTAATGCGATTGCGACGTGATACGTATTCAACAACAATTTTGAGTGAATGGCGCAGCAATAAATTAACGCCAAAAACGAAGAAGAGAGAATGCGGGCGGGTGGGAGAGTGAAAAGAAGAAAATTCATCAAATTTATGGCTGTGACAAGATATTGAAAAGAGTGAGTTTGAGTTGTTGAACCGGCAGAAACAAAGAGCGAGCGCAAAGGGCAACATCGTGTGAACAATCAATGTCGACGACAATTTTAATCAAAACAAATGCGCTCTATCTTTCCCCAACACAAAATCGATGAAAAGACCAACGAACCGCACAGAAAGGTGTCTCTCGATTAGAATAATGCCATTGTATTATTAGTAAATGCTATTGAAATTGATAACAAAAAGTACGAATCTCATTTGAATAATTTTCTTCTCTCTCTCTATAATAATACTCACGTTGAATGTAAATTCTTGTAGATATCTTCATTGGAATTGCTTCGTTCGGACGGGGATACTTGTGTACTGAAGCCACTGCTCGACGGGAGAAAGAAAGAGAGAATGAAAGAAAAAACAAAAGAAATGACGGCATTAAAAATTGATTCAGTAAGACACAATTTTGTTGTTATTGTCCTATGCATTATAAAAGACTAGGGTTTTTTTTTCTTCATTTCGACCTTCGTCCTCTAGTACTCGGTTGGCATTCAACAGATTCAGTTTGTGAAGGGTGGTGGTAGAGCGAATGCCATGGACTCAATTACAACTTGTTTGAAAATGGCTTTTCATTTATGTTTTGGAAGTTCAAATCACTTTAATTGTGACCGCAGCAGATACACCGAACCATAGCATTGCATATTTCACGCCTCACACTGAATTCATTTGAATGGTATTGTGTCGCATTGTGGCGACCATAGAATTTCACAGCGTTTTCTCTCCTATTCTATGAATCTATAAGCAAATTTCTATTATATAAATATACTTGTTGGTACACTTACGGTAAATGTGGATGAATTTGGGCAACACGCCGTGATAACTTGGATAATGTGATTAAAACTCGATGGAAATTAGTCAAGTCGTATAGCATTGTTGGCTCGAACAGATCCGATTCCCGTAGGCCATAATAATTTTTGCATGTGTCGAGAAACAGCTTAATGTTCTGGCAGCACAGAAACTACAAAACCGCCAACAGCAACACCAATAATAACCATCCATTGCGAATGAAAACAGTGTGACCGTAATTACACAGGATATTACGTTTGAACGCCGAAAACAGAGAATGAGAATGAAAATATATATAAATTAATCACGCGTAGAACAACGCCAGAAAATACATTTCGATTTAGGTGAAACAGATAAATTCGATGACATACTGAACAGAATAAACTAATTTGCGTAGGATTGGGCTTGTTCATTTCACTTCTCAGAATTATGAATTTTCATTTCGAATCAGCCAAGTTATAGTATGTGTGTCGAATAATGGTATGTACGGAAAGTGAGTGCTAGAGCACGAACGCATATATGCGATTTGATGTTTGTGATAGCAATGAATGACAACAGAAAAAAAAGACGAACACAAAGAATGACAAAAAAAAATTTGTGACAAAAAACAACAACGAAGCGGAGTACATCCTGTTTGAGTGCGCCTTCGAATTTATTTATGCTAGATGCATCGACACCAAATGCACATATGTTTTGTTCACATATATAGCAATTTTGGTTGCCATATTCATTCTTAAATGTTCAATTCGATTGTGTTCATCTATACGGGCTATGACGAAGTAGTAGGTAGAAAGAGTCGACAAAAATGAATGGAACCAAATAAACACATAGAGACACATACACACACATAATCATAATGTTCACAGTACATGACGACTGCACTTTCCATATTTTCACGCAAACGAATATTTTATGCGAGCAAATTATCAAATTATCTGTCTCAATTGCTTTCTCTCTCTCTCTCTCTCCGCTTTTTTCGCCATTTGCGATTGTTTTAATCGTAAATGCTTGATTAAAAATAGAACTCCAGCAAAAAAAAAAACGAATTCCGAAATAATTTTGTTTCCTCTCTATTTTCTCTCGGTCGCTGATGTTTTTCTTCTGCAATGGTAAAAATAGAAAAATTCATAGAACATACTTGTGCCATTTGTGGTTTGCGATTGAAGTCCTTCATGTCAAGGGCATTGGGATCGATTGAATTTAGTAAGTTGCACAATATAACACCATCACGTAGAGTCAAGGCTAGAACACGAATCTCCGAGTCCGGCCAGTTGGCTTTATGATCAGCTGGAATTGCCTTGCACTTTGTCAACCATGCGACACACTCACGCCACAAATCATCTGACACATTGCTTGCCATGTTTGCGTTAATTACTTTTACAATCAAATGACGAAACTCTTTGTGCAATTAAATTCCGAGAAATGGAAGTATGTTTCACGCGAACAAGAAGAGAAAAAAAACACACACACAAACACCACGAAATTAAAGTGATTTCCACATAAATACACTCAATCAAATTGACGTCCGATTCGACGAAATGATGAAGATTCAGATCAATTTCATAAGAACAATACACGAAACGTCGTTTTCAATTTTTCCGTCACCGTCTTGTATCGTGTGCACAACGATAGCATAAAAATTCCATTTCAAACAATTAAATTGGCAACACAAATTAAAAAATGAATTCAATTCACTGCTACTGCTGATGAATTCAAACAACGAATGTGTGGAACGCCAAAGAAACAACAGCACAGAAAAAGAAAAACAAATAGCAGCAACGAAAACGAGACACTACACTACAACTTGTCGCTTGATTTCACGATTTTCGCTTCGATTTAATTTAACGTGAATGGATGTGTATTTAAATTAGCTGATGACACTTTTATGGTGCGTGCAAAATACTTTTACTATGACCAACACGTACTCATAATCCAAAGCGATTGGTTTCTTAATTTGATGATAATGATGTTTTTCTTTCTCTTTTTCATTCGATGAAGTCAATGCAAATGCAATGCACTAAAACAAAACACTTGAAATTTTATTTTTTCTTGATCAAATGCACACACATACACCATCACTTTGTCGAAATGATTCTAAATTCAAAATTGCTTATAGTAAAGAAATGACAAAAAAAAGACATCGGAAAAATGAATGGATCTGATTTGTTGTGCACGACACAATTAAAACACTTGGTTAGGTAAATCTATTCGCTGCTACGGCCATATTAATTGCGATATATTTGAATTTTCACTTCAATATATATTTTTTTCTTTCGGTATGTTAAATGAGAGACGGAGCGTAGCACAAATGTGTGTTGGTATGTTGTGTGTCTCGTACCTATCTGATGTTTTGTGTAGAAAGCATTCTGATCTGAAGTGAATGTGATTAAACATAAAAGTCATGCATTCCATTCTATCCAGCCATTGGAAGGAATACATTGAGTGGAAATTTGGAATGAATGTCGCATGTGTGATTGTTCATCGCTCTCCCCTACCTACCGCCGATTATCACATTATTGATGTTACATTCATGTGCCGGGCGAAATGACTCATGAAGATTAAAGAACAATTTACTCATTTGCACGCATGAGTCGAGATAATCCCATTTTTGCATGGATTTCTACAGTTTGCGAAGAAATTACATGATACAAAGATTTCGCGGTAAATTGTTTGACTGTTCATTGGCAGTGATTTGTGTATACGGAATGAATGTGCTGTAATACTTCCATGCAAACATCAGACATGAACGCCATCTCTGGACAGATTTCATCAACTCTTTCCAGTTATGTATGTGATTTTCATGAATTTGTATTAAAATTTACACAACTGATTACTTTTAAATCGAACACGAATTACAAATGCACATTTCACATACGATTGATCGAAACCAATTGACACCAAATTGAATGAATCATCATAAAACACAATGAGTATAATTGTAAACGTTTGAACAACAAACGCCAGTAAAAGATACTGTGATGGCTACCAACATGACGGCCAATAATGTTTGGTTTGACATTTGGAATACTTTGCTGCGAAAAAAATTTCATTGTGAAACCCATCAGTGTGCGATTAATGCTCACTACGGTGAACTTTACTTTGTGCCGGTCAACAAAATTTTATGACCATTGAAAAAGTATTATTTTTTTCATTTCATTTGTGTTTACGCAGCAGCAGTCTGTGAAGTGGCAAAAAATCAACGCCAACATTGCTAGTTGAACGAAACAAATTTGGGCATTTATCAAATTTTTCTGTTGATGTCTGACGAATATTTGTGATATTTCATTTCAAAATTTTCTTCAAGGGTCGCGCAACTCGTTTCGACATTCTAATTATTAAGGATATTGTTGTTGTTGCTATTTCGCCGAAAGCGTTCATGCACAGACCAACAATATGGATGACAAAGTACGAAGCAGTACCACCGAAATAAATGAACCGGAGGACAGTCCTCAGAAAACATCTAGACGTATGTAATTACGCCATCAATGGCGTTCCATTTTAAACAATCAAAAAACATTCTTCTTCAATTATTTTAATGAGGCTAATCCGTTTACAATTCATTATTTATGCATAGGACGACGAACACCATCGACCGATCCAACCGATGTAAAATCAAAACGCCGATCACGTTCACGGTCAAAGAGTCGCTCCAGCAGGTCGCCATCACGTGATAGAGGCAATCGAAGACGCCGAAGTAGATCAAGGGGTCACTACAGTCCAGACCGACGATATGGAAGGTAGTTTTCACATTTATCGATTGATTCATGTATACACAGTATACAATTATCATGGAATTTATGAATAATAATTTAGGGTTATTTTGTGGCGTGTGCACGTGTCAGTTTTGAATCAAGGCTTAAATTTTTTTTTTTCATAATTATAGATTTGGTCGTGGTGGATATCAGCGGGATAATTTTTACAATCGACGTAGACGGTCACCATCACATTCGCCCGGCTATCGTGGTGGTCGTAAAAATGCGCGACGCAGTCGAAGCTCCAGCTATGATCGGTATAGAAATCGACGAAACACATCTACATCCAGAGAGCGTTCGATGAGTCAAGGTCGAGGTGCACAACAACAACCACCACCGCCGCCACAAGTTTCAGCCACAAACTATCCAAACGATTACGCGCCAACACCATTTCAGCCGGAATACCAAGTTGCTCAACCACCTTATCAAAATCCGACACAATTTGGAAATTATGATTATGTACCAATGATGCAACCACCCCCTACATCTTTTCCAGCCTATCCACCTCCGCAGTCACAGGAATACATGTGGAGTGCCCAGGTTCCACCGCCACCAATCATTTCATGTGCTCCAGCTACCGCGGAAGCAGCTCCAGCTTCGGTTAAACCGATCAACAACAGTGCAACAGATGAGGAAGAGCAAAAACGACAGGGTAAGCGCTTTTTCTTTCAATAGCCATTATGAAAATCGTTTTCCAAATTCCAAAAAACATTTAAACATCTCAAGTCTTAAATGAAAACTTTCGAGTTGACAATGTTTGTTTTGTTATTCAATTGAAAACATAGCCGCCATTGCCGCCGAGAAGAAAATCCAGCGAGACACAATTCGCAAGCAACGTGATGGTTATACTCGTCGTGCAAGCGCACTGAAACGTGAACTGATTACATTGAAAGAGCAGCGACAAGAATTGGTTACCGGCAATGATCCGCCAAGTCCAACGACAAATGGTTTTATCAAGGAAAATGATAAACTACAGGTAAATACCAGTCCAATTGATCAATTTGCTGTGTTGCAACACTTTATGCACTTTGTTTTTTTTTTCGTTCTTCATGTTTGTTTCGATAAATCACAACTCATTTTTGTCATTGAAAATGATTCGTGATTTTGTGGCGAACGTTTTCATTTTTCTTTTTATATTTTGTTTTTTTTTCTGTTCATTTGAACATTGATTGTGTTTCATGAATTGCAACAAATCAAAATTCGAATTCAAATTATTGCACAAACAAGCAAACAAAAATTGTCAACATATTTCTCCACTTTTCACAGCGTATCTGGTCATTAATTCATTGTGCTAGATTAATGTAGGCAAATATAAGAAAATCTCTTTCTCTCAATGTGAGCAAAAACCAAATCGAAAAAAAACACATTCGCGTGCACATTGCGTGAGACATTCTGGTTCAAATTGAAACGATGATGATGCAACTCTATCGTGAAGTCTCTCTATCTCTCTGTCACAGCATCAGTCCATTCATCCACCGTGTTCTCTTTTAAAACTTAGAATTAGCTGATTTTTTTCTAGAAAATTGTTGTAATTGTTTTGTTATTTGTTGGCTTTTTGTAACTCGTTTTGCTTTCGGACAATTTTGAGAAAAATCCCATCGGCTCTTTCCGCATGGTACCTGATACCTATGGCCGTTGAAAATGTCCAATTTTGCCGCGTACGATGGGATTTATATCGATAGATTGGCTGAAAACCAAATGGGATAGATCGTAAGCAATTTTGAATTGTACTTAGCCACGCACATCAAAATGCGATCCGATCAACTTGGAAACTTGTATTCAGGCGCGCATCAATACGACGTCAAATCTTGTTTCCAAAAACCAAAATTGCAAATTGTGTTGGTCGCTCCTTGATGATTCGAATCGATTTTTGGAAACGAATTGATTATTGGGTGAGTCTCAGAGATCAATTGGGCGAACACTTCGACGCACGTGTCTGTGACAATCATCCGACAGAAACAGACAATATTCCAATTTAAAAAATGTATTGAAAAGTCTCTGTGTGTGCAAACGCAAGAAATGCAAGTTTGATGAATTCCAATGAAATACTTCATGTACATTTGTCGTGTAATTCAGTCATTAAATTGCTAAATAATCGCTTATCATTCTTTCTTTTTCATTTTCGTCGTCGTCGTCATTGTCGTCATCATTTTTGTGGTGCTGTATGTGTGTACTCAATGGCGATTGAGAGTAGATTCAAATCGAGAATAAAATCGGCACCATTGAAAATGTGATTGAGATGCTCAATGGGATTCTAAGCGCCGACAAATCCGACACCGAGTCGCCAAAAAAGACAAAATCTACGCAGAAACAAGAGGAACCGACCCATTCGGATGATAGCTCACCGGAACGCTTGAAAACGAAAGTAATTGAAAGCCTGTCAAGAAAACGCAAGGAAAGCGAACGAAACCGAAGAGATGAGTACGTTTTATTTTTTGTTTGTACTAAAAATTATTATAAAATTTCATTAGGTAAAGAATTTCATTTGAAATATCCAATTTGTTTCAATTTCAACCATAGAAAACCATCTAAATCGACTGCAACGCCAGCAGCGGTTGAGCAAATCAACTATACATTCTTTGACCCCGAGCAACATTGGTGCAAGGTATGTTCCGCATTTCCAAAAACAGCCAAGGAATACTTGCTTCATCTGCACACCGAAGAGCACAAGGCCAATGTGAAACCGCCAGAGATTCCATGGCACGATCATTTGGTGAAAGATGATATGCTGGTATATCCGAATGCACCGACAAAACGTACACCAATTCGCGGTCTACAGTTCTTCGTACCATCAACTGCTTGGTATTGCAAGCTGTGCTCAATTTGGATTGGTGATTTACATTGTGCCTCGTCTCATTTAAAATCGCAAACGCATGCCCGAGAATATGAAAAATTCATTGCAAAGAATCCGCTGTTCGAAAATGAATGGTTGGACGAGCGTCAAAAGGCCTTCGATTCAAATAACGGAAGAGAACAGGAACAGAGCCGAAAAGTGATTGCACCACCATCGCCGCCTGTAATTAGTGTGCAAAAGCAAACGGTCGCACCGCCACCACCACCTCAAATCACTTCATTTGCGAATGCGTCCAGTCGCTTATTCGACAGCATCCCATTGCAAATCAATCATCGTACTAAAGATGTTAAAGAGGTTGCCGTGAATGAGGAGGTGGAAAAGAAAAAAGGCAGCAAAAAGAAGAAGAAGGAAAAGAAAAAGCGCAAGAAGTCAAAGAAGAAGCATCGCCATTCATCGTCAAGTTCATCGTCGAGCTCGGACGAATCTTCGATCAGTGGAAGTCCGGAAAAGAAAACATCGGCCGAACAGACCATCGATTCAACTACATCGATTCGTGTGGCTATGCGTAATGCCGTGAATGCAGTGCCAGTACGAACCCATTTGAAGCCGAAATCAGATGACGATGAGCCACAAGATATTGATATTGGTGGCTGGACGGTTGTACAACCAGAAGCAAGAGCCATCCCACCAAAACCGCCAACCATCAGTGCAAATGGCGAAGAACAGAATCGACGCGATGAGGCAATGTTGTCGCAATGGACACCGCTACCGGTTATCAGCGAAAAAGAAAAACAACTATTTGAGCAACTTAAAGGCAAGATAAAGGATCGTGATGAAAAGAAGAAGGAAAAATTACATCCATCAGCGACAACAACAGTACAAAATGCTGTGCAATCACAACCAAATCCAGCCCATCAGCAGGGTAGGGAATCAAGCGATCGTTCATCAAAAACCAGTGACAAGCGACGCGATGAAAGCGATCATGGGTTCAAGGAAGTGCGGGAGAAAGATCGTCGTGATGCATATCGAAAGCGAAGATCTCGTTCAACATCCTCACCACGTAGAGACAGGGATAGGTAAAGATGATACAAATCTAATATTGAATCGAATAAGTTTTTCTAATATGTTCTCATTTCATCAGACGTAGTCGCAGTCCAAGACGAAGTCGTAGTCCAAGACGTGACAGACGCAGAAGAAGCCGATCATCATCTCCAAGACGCGATAGGTAACATTTTATCGCTGATTCATTTTAATGTTTTACATGTACTAAATCGTTCTAACACTATTTCCAGACGGTATAGTCGTAGCCCAAGGCGTGATAGACGTAGAGACCGTTATTCACGTTCCAAATCTAAAGATCGTTACGCTGACAAGAATGATGTGAAAGACAAAAATGCCAAGACGGGTTCTGATAAGCCACCCGCAAAGAAACCAGCCACAACGTCGGTAAATACTGGCAAAAAGTTACCATTCATTGGTCGTATGCCAGTCTTCAAAAAGCAAACGACAGGTATGTATTTCAAAGTTTGTTTCAAAACTGTGCCCATATCAGGCGAAATAATTTTAAAAATTTATTCTGAAAATTAATTCCTAACCAAATCAAATTCCAAAACCGATTCATTTGCAGAAGATGACACGAAAAAGCAGGAGCCAACCAATCAAGTGTCTCAAGAACCAAATCTGATTGAAAAGAAGAAAAAAGATGAATTGAAATTCCAAATCCATCAAAAGCAACAGCTGTTGCAGCTTCAGCAAAAGCAGGCCGAAGCATACAATTTGGCGCATCCAGGTCAATTTGCCAATATCTATAATACACATGGAACGATTCATCATATTTTACCAGCTGTTCAGCCAGAAGAGTACGATCTTATGCCGGATCCAATGCAATATGCTACGTTGATGACGACAGTGGCACCGCCACCACCAATGGCCCCACCACAAGAGATCGAAATATCTCACTTCAAAGAAGCAAACGAACCGGTGCTCCCACCAGGTATGTTGAAATTAATTTACTTATTTTCTCAAATCATGTCATTGACTGTGAATTTCTTTTAAAATGACCACCTGTAGGAATCGACGTGGAAGAGGCCGAGAATATGGAATTAGAAGCAGCTGTACCGCCTCCACCGCCACCATCCAACAAAGATAATTTGCCGAAAGATTTCCAAGATGCGTTGAGTATAATTTTCGATAAAGGTGTGGACAATCAAACTGGAGAGACAACAAAAACCGCAGCAGCTGATGTACCAATAAGCGCTGGCGGCGAAAAATTAAGCGAAATTACAAACGTTGTGATGCAAGACAGTACGTCAAACTTTACCCAAATGGATATGTCATCGATTGACTCGCAGCCATCGCACATCGAACAGCCAGATCTAAGCAACGGTGCGACAAACATGGAACTGGACGATCAATCACAGTACATTTATGCCGAAGAGCATTATGTTCAAAATCATATACAGCAGTCGGTTGTCGAACCACAATCGGCCACTGGTTTGGCTACGCAAAATATTCCAACGCCCCCGATTCAAATATTAGACGCAGCTGGTAATTTGACGAAAATTCCAGGACCAGTATTAGAAGTGGGCAGTGATTTTGTAGTTTTAGATCCAGACGGTAATCGTATCGATAAAATGAGCTATGCCATTGCACCGAATGAAAATGCCATAAAAAAAGACAGTGGACACACCGTGGAAACGGAGCATGATATTGAGCTGAAATTGAAACGCCAACAAGAATTGGATGATTTAGCAATGTTGGGCATTGACGCTGATGATCTGGCTGCTCAATGCATATAAGGAATGCCGCTTTTATCTTCTTTTTATTTCTTCTCTTCTCAATTCAATAAAAACACTTACCTTTGGAACACAGGCAAACCAAAACACACGCACGGAAAAGAAACCAAGTCGATTTAAACTATTTGAATTTAAGTTTAATTTTCTCTTTCATTCTCAATGTTATTGCGCTAATGGAATCAACAACAACAACAACAATCAATTATGATTTTAATTTTCGAAATAAAATTAATTCTGAGGAAAAATTAAAAACAGCGTATTTATGTTCCTAGCAATCAGGAATGGCATTGATTGTATTTATTTTATTAATATTTGCATCCATTGATTCGATTAATGGTATTTCTTAGCATAAGCCAAATAGTATTCAATTTTCTTAATCATCGCAGTTAGTTTTCCCTTTTCCAAATCCGAGCAAGCATTCGCTTTCTGGTCATTGAATCGTTTGGTAAATTTTTCGGAATCATTGGTCGGTTCATTGGTTGACGACGCGCCTTCATCACCACCACTGCTGGCTGCATTCACTGAAACCGATGGTTTCGAATGTGAGTTCTTTATCTCTGTTTTAACTGCTGATAAAAGTCGATGTAAATCTGATAAGGCAGCCAAAATGAATGTGTTGGTTGGTTTATCCTGAATTGGTCCTGCCATGAGATTATCAATATCTTTTTTCATTTGCCTCATATCCTGCTCATCGACTGCGTAGCCTTCATTGTTTGCATCTTGCCGGATCGATTCAATGGCAACGTCTGCATCATCAAAATTGGCATTCATTCGCAGATTGGCACATACTGATATCAAATACTTAACTGCTTCATATTTGCTTGCCTCGTATTCACCGTAAAAGAATCGCACCATCGATGCATATCCCGTTAGTACATTGATCAAATTGTTAACTACACACGAAGCTGGAGTTTTTGTGGAAATTCGTGCAAAATCTACAATCGATTCGATTATCTTTGGATGTTCAACAATTGGTTCGGCTGGGTCATCGGTTTCATCGCCATTCATTTCACTGACTAATTTTCGTTTGGTTTTAATTTCCCACCAAGCGCTGTATTTGGGCAAAATCGATGTAACATCTTCACTTTGAATTATTTTGTTGAACTCCTGACGCTCACTTTCCGTTAGCTTTGACCAAATTGCATCGGCATCATTCAAATCAATACCCTCCAAGCGTTTCGATAAGTCATTATCATCATCCGGCTCATCTTCATCATCGTCTGAATCCAATTCTTCGTCGGACAGCTCAAAATCAGAATCGATGGGCTGATCACCGCTTTCGACTCTCTTTAGAATGTCGTACATTTTTTTCACATCATCACTTGGACCGGACGTATTCTTCATTTTGCTTTGTAGTGTCATTTCTTCGACCACACAATCTTTGTAGAATTCCTCGGAACATTTCAAGTGACTCGGCGATTGGTAGCATGCCACCGAACAATAAGCAATGTTACATCGTGGGCAAATGTATTTTCTTGTTCCTTCGGAACAACTGAAATGAAAAGAGCCATATTAGCTATAGTCGGTGTAATTTCACAGAAAATAATTGCACTTACATTTGGCATAACTCCTCCGATGACATTGTGCCTTGGAGTTTCTTTGAAAAAGACAATTTTTTTTCGGGAAAAAAGCTTGCTTGACTTCAAACGTTTGAAATCGTATGATTGAAACTATTCAGTGACCGACTTAATACTCTAACCAACTGAATTAAAAGCTAAAATTTTGCTAGCGGCTTAAAAAAAAACAGTTCAAAATCCGTATGATAAAGTAAAAAAATGTATTTCGTTAAACCAAACAACACGCGTATCGGCTGTCAAACATCAAAGCCGCTTTCAATCTATCTGTCAAATGTCACAGCGGATATGGACTATGGTTGTCCTTGTCGCACGCATGTTCTTTGTTCATCTCAACTGTCAGATGCTGCTTTGGGAGTAAACAATAGCAATATAATCAAAACACTTGTCTCTCGCACTGAGTACGCACAATCGGAATTTTTTCATCTCCAAAATTCCGATGCATAGCTGCGAAGTGTTTTCTGTGCAACGATAAAACAATTACTAATTTTACATTTGTTCCATCTTAAAAGTTTCAAACATTTTATTAAACATATAATAGAGCCATCAAACTTAGTTATAAAATAAGAAAAAAAATCTTTATAAAAGTGGTTTAAGTGTGTGAACAACACAAAAATCAATTTTCATGAGTTCGAATTCAGGCAGTGTGTCTAAAAAGAAAATGTCGATACCAACAAAGCACCAGAAAGTTGTTCTACCGTCAACTTGTACGGGTGAAAATTTGCTGGTCTTAGATTTTTCACCGTTTGAGACCATTTTACAATGGAAGAGAATGCTTGAGTGTGACATCTTTGTCGGAGCAAGGTTAGTTAGCAATTCAGAGATTCAGCATATAGAGAAGAAAATTCTATTTAAAGCTATTATCATTTTCTCTCGATTGCAGACGAAGCAAACATACAACTGTTGCATACAAGGATGCAATTTACGTGTTTGGCGGTGACAATGGCAAAAGCATGTTGAACGATTTAATTCGATTCGATGTGAAAGACAAATCATGGGGCCGCGCCTTTGCAACAGGACTGCCACCAGCACCACGATATCATCATTCAGCTGTTGTGCACGGCAGCTCAATGTTCATCTTTGGAGGTTACACAGGCGACATTCATTCAAATTCAAACCTTACGAATAAGAACGATTTGTTTGAGTACAAATTCCAATCGGCACATTGGTCCGAATGGAAGTTCACGGGCAGGTAGGACGCAGCAGGAATTGCGGAATTTTTTAATAGCCTTTTTTTTCTTTCAATAAAAAAAATCATCGTAAATTCATCCATGAACTTGTTTTTATAGAACACCTGTGCCACGCAGTGCACACGGTGCAGCGGTATATGACAACAAACTGTGGATTTATGCAGGTTACGATGGAAATGCTCGTTTGAATGACATGTGGACCATCTCATTAATAGTAAGTAATAAGAAAAACTCCGATATAGAGACTTTTAAAAAAAAAATTCGAATTTTCTCTCACAGAAGGGTGACGTGCATCAATGGGAAGAAATTGAGCAGAAAGGTCAACGTCCGCCAACTTGTTGTAATTTCCCGGTTGCTGTAGCCCGTGACTGTATGTATGTGTTTTCGGGTCAAAGTGGTCTTCAGATTACAAATGCATTATTCGAGTTTAACTTCAAGACAAAAACGTAAGAAAAATTCCTCAATAAAGAATTTCTCATTGTGTGCGAGAGATTTTTAACATAAAATTCCCCATTTCTTCAGTTGGCGTCGTATCACAAACGACCACATTTTGCGCAGTGCACCACCGCCACCATCTCGGCGGTACGGACACACTATGGTCCATCATGACCGATTTCTGTACGTGTTCGGTGGTTCCGCTGATAATACACTGCCAAGTGATTTGCATTCCTATGACTTGGATGCTCAAATCTGGTCGGTTATCAAACCCGAAGAAGGTTCGGATATCCCACCGGGACGTGTATTCCATTCGGTGTCGGTGATAGGCTCGGCAATGTACATTTTTGGTGGAACAATCGATAACAATGTTAGAAGCAGTGACATGTATCGATTCCAGGTAAAATGATTTTCCTTCAAAATAAATGAAAAAACATGATATCTTCTATGTTTTACTGTTTAGTTCCCCACTTATCCGAGATGTACGCTGCATGATGACTTTGGTAAATTATTTGCCGAGCGTTTATTCTGCGACGTACAATTCATTGTTGGAATGGAAGAAGTGAAAATCCCAGCTCACATGGCCATCGTTGCAGCTCGTTCAGCTGTGTTGAAGGAGAAAATTTTGTAAGATCTTTGAATTATTCTCGTCAATTCAAACTATTCTAGCCTATGTCTCATTTCAGAGTCGCTCGTGCTAAGCTTTTTAGCACAACTGATGTTCCATTTTCTGATCGGCCAATACTCGAAGTGAAAATACCCGATGCACTGCCAGATGCGTTTGAAAAAGTGCTACATTACATTTATACCGATCGCATCGACTGTAAGTTGAATGAATGAATGAATGATAAGTGGTTTGAAGCAGTGGTTCATTGGATTGTGTACATTTCAGTTTCGGATCGAACAGATAACAAAGAAATCGTGCGTCTTATGATGGACATCTTCCAATTGGCAGTTCTGTATTTGATAACACGTCTAGAGAACGTGTCTATTCACTATCTGGAACTGAGAATCTCAAAGAACAATGTTCTTGATGCGTTATACTATGCCGATAAAATGAAGTAAGTATAACAAAAAAGTTGAAATTTAATGAGAAATTCGACAGCTTCATGAACTAACAACATACCCAAGAAAAACCAATCAAATTACTCTACGCTAAAATGATGCCAAGCTTAAGTAGTTCAATTTATTCTACACTGTTTAGACGCCCGCCAAGTTAAAAATGTATTGAAGATTCGGCGTAACTATATGCAACGCCACCTATATGTTAAGTTAAAAATATACTGGACAAACGGTGTGGCTTCGGAGTAATTTAACTTAAGTTGAATACATATATTTGTATTACAAATAGTATTGACGTTAATTTATTCCACACCGAAATTACGCCGAATCTTCGATACATTTTTAACTTGGCGGGCGTCTAAACGGTGTAGAATGAATTGAACTACTTAAACTTGTCATCATTTTAGCGTAGAGTAATTTGATTGGTTTTTCTTGGGATAGTTCAAACTATTTACTAATTCTGAATCAATTTCAGTTTGAATTTGATCAAAGATCTTTGCATGAGTTTCATCGTGAAAGAGGACAATTTCAATGACATTGTGATGACCAATGATTTTGACAATCTGGCCAAGCCACTGATGGTGGAAGTAGTACGTAAAAAAGTTTATCCGGGTCGTATGAATGACATTCGAATCAGCCAACTAATGGGTATGAGTCAATAAATTTGGCTTCATTGCGTATGAAAATCCTGATTTATGTTTTTACTTTGAAGGAACGACGTTGGAAAATGACATGGCCACCTTTTTAAAAAGTAGCGGCAGAGAATTTTGTGACATCAACTTGATATTGGACGACCGTGTTATTCCGGCACACAAATCGATTTTGGCGGGTCGATGTTCATATTTTCAGGCTATGTTTAGGTCATTTATGCCAGCGGACAACACAGTAAATGTAAGAAATTCATTTTTTGTTTCACACAATGAGAATGTTGACTTATTTTTCGTATGTCTAGATACAAATTGGAGACATTTCACCGTCACAAGAAGCATTCAACTCCCTACTTCGGTATATTTACTACGGAGACATTCGAATGCCACCAGAGGACTCGCTGTATTTATTTCAGGCGTCTTGCTTCTATGGTAATGCTATTAAACCATTGACAAATAGAATTCATTGAATGCACCCCGATTCCTAACATTTGCTTTTTTCCCTATAGGATTAACCAACAATCGATTGCAAGCCTACTGCAAACATAATTTAGAGCACAATATTCATGTTCAAAATGTGCTACAAATTTTGGAAGCATCCGACAAAATGAATGTGCCAGACATTAAGAAGTTTGCCTTAAGTATGATTGTGCGCGATTTCGCGCAAGTGGCACGACTACCAAAGATGAGAAACTTAAACAGACAGTTGCTAATTGAAATAATTGAAGCGATGGGTGATGTTGTGGCTGAACTAAATCCGAGCAATGATTTGACATCGTCCGATATTTGAAATTTACTGTTTAGCAAGTATGCGGTGAACATACTTTATGAATGGCTTTCAAAGAGGCGAAACGATGACGAAGACAGCGAATAATACAAACGAATTAAGACCATCATTTCAATAGGTCCATTGATGTTTAATTGTGATTGTAACAGACATTGTTTAACATTTCATCACACAAACGACATTTGCATTTTATTGCTTTATTAAGATATATCTATATTTTAAACACTTTTATAATTGTTATATGAATTTAATCACTTTATTTTCTTAATGTTAGAAACAAATAGTTGTATTTACTGTTGAAGTAATAGATGTATTAAAAGTAATGTGCCATGAGCTCATGAGAAAGAAAAAAACGAAATTTCGCTTTAAATTGGACGTTGAAGTTAAATTGTCTAATGCCAAGGCCTATATGTGGGTTAGGCTACAGAAAGGCTATGTTGGAAATTATGAACAAATTATTCGGAGCCATGTTCAAAAGATTGAATTCTTTTCTATGTTGAAATAATTGAAAAACAATTTTGTTTCAGATAATAAAAACTAGTATGGTGATTTATTCAAAAACTCAAAATTTACATTCAATTAAAATTTATCGACGTCGCATTTTTAAATTTTTCCATTGATTTCGAAACTTTTTCAGCACCAATCCATGATGGCTCAGTATCAATAGGCTAGTTGTGGATGTCTTGAACTTTTCCCATTCTTCATTCGTGACTCCCTTTGTATTTTGTTCCTGGTCATTCTGTCTCAGCTCATCTTCGACGGTTAAAAATTCACGAATCTCTTTGATCGTTTTCAATTGATCAACATCGATGTGTTTAATGACCTTGGCTACTTCTTTTCGACTCATCGTTGGTGTTCGACTGATTTTCTCGCCCAAATCGAAATTCTTGTTGTATAAAGGCAGTGGTTTCATCGATATCATGGGTTTTCCTTTAACTTGAACGGGTTTTGAGGTGCTCGCGAAATTCTGCTGTTTTCCAAGAAGATCTAAGGTCTTGGGCATCTTCGTCTTTTTACCAACTGATTCATCACCTTTGACATTTTTTTGAACCGGTTGATTCACTAGCAGCTTTGGCTCGAACTTTTGATCGATAACTTTTCCTTCATTTTTTACCGTGTCACTTCCATCGAACAAAAAGAATTCCTCATTCAAATCCAGTTGGCTCTGGTCAACGGAAATGTCAATGTATTCAATGTATTCTTCGCCGAGCCATTTGTTTAGCCGTTTTGGTAGTGACTTTGATTTGTCATAGTTTTTCGCGTAAAATGGATAGAATCCGTTGTAAAATTGAACCACGCATCGACACATATCAATACAAATGGTCCAGACTTCAGCTAAAACAGCTGAGAACAGTGATATCGTTTCAATGAAGGCAGCTCGATGCAAAAGCTCCAGGAAAAGTCGATGTGATTCACGGGCACACATTACAGTTCGAAGCAGTAGTTTAGCGAACGACTGCAACTTTGTCAGAAAGTAGAAAAAGTTCTCTCGATCGGGTAAATAGTATTTGTCGTCAAGTTTTCGAGCCATTTTTGCAACGCCAATGGCATTTTGATAGTCTTTGATGTTTTGATAGATGTTCAACTCCTTCAGTCGGCACAAAGCGATGTTCATCTTGCGAAAATACATGAAGCTCGGTTGTACTCGAAACGAATGGGCACGTCGGGCAATCAAACGAGACGCCATCGCTGCAGCTTGTTCCAATTTTGGACGTAGATCGTGAATGCTTTCACAATGACCGAAATTGTTGAGGAGCGCATCGAAATCTTGAATGGATTAAGCAAGTTGTTTAGAGATGGAAATCGAGGTATTTGATTTGAATTGCCGAGATTGAATTACACAGTTGACTGTCAACACTTACCGATATCACTTTTCAATTTCTGCATCGTTGAACGCATCGGTGGCTGTGGGAGATTTCTTTCTATCCAGGCTTTGCTCATTTTTATCGGCTTTTCTGTTGAAATTATCAACAAAAAAAATCCTCCAGTCTTACTGTGTAAGCAAACAAATAACTGTCAAAACCACATGTGGACCTGATCTGTCAAACACATTTTTATCGTATATTTGGGGTATGTTCAGCTGTACTCATACAATAACAAACAATATATTTGTTGAAAACAAGAAACATGAATATAAAATCAGACTAAATTCTAACTTTTATTGGATTTTTTTTTTGATGAGCAGTATTCAAACATCTATTCAGATCTCAATCCAATCGTCACCTTATGTGTTTTGAGACCATCGACGGTGGAAAATAGTTGTTTTGCTATTAAAATAGAAAATCGTCATGAATTTTGGTCTAAGAATCCAATTACGGTCAATTTCAGCAATTACCTTCACAAATTTCTTCTCATTTTTGTTCGAGGCTGTTTCATTGGAAAACAATTTTGGATCAACTTTAATTTTATGGCTACAAAAGTCGGTCCAGTCTTCACATCGTCGCACTTTCTAGCTGGAGAAATGCCAACTGGAGTTGTTCGTTGGAAGAACTGATTGAGTGATGTTTGACCAGTTTGTTTGCTTGGAGATGGTGACTGAGGAACAGTGGGACCTACCAAATTTTGATTTGGGATATTACGTTTTATAGCAGAACGGAATGTGCAATGTTGTCTTACCTCTTTTTCTTCCTCTCATTTTGGTATGATACTTTGATCAAATTATTCCAGTGCGATAAATACAAGCACGTCCGTTCGTTGCAAGTCGGTTGCAATCGAATGAAAAAAATTACCAAAGTAAATTTTGATCTGTCAAAGTTCTTTATTTCAAGATTGTCTTAATGGTTTTTGAGTACTTTCAATATTTCATAAACAGGATATTTTTTTTCCCTTAAAATGACGGATAATTTGATGGAAAACGAACGAAAAATATATCGAATATATAGAAAATAGCATTTATATGGTCTTAACGCAGTTTTGTTAAGCAATATATAGTAAAACGTTCACATTTTTTAACGATCAAAGAGAACAACGACGAGGAAACTTAAATTAAATTCGAGCATAAGTTGAAATGATAATTGGTACCGGATTGGTTTTGATGACCTCTGTGCGGGGGATGTAGTTGTTTTTCTGTTGATGGAAATAGTTATGAAGAAATTAACAAATTGAAGAGAAAAATTTAATGTTCAAATAAAATTACCTTAACGAATTTCTTGAAGTTCTTTGATTTGTTGTACGATGCGGATCCAGAGTTTGAGAATAGACTGTCTGTTTCATCAGCCTGAACTGAGCGACGCGTTGTGTTAAGTTCCACCTTGCGAACTTCGAATACGTTTGCCATTGATTTGATCCATTGTCGTTTTTTCTGTTCGTCTGTCAATTCCCACTCTTCCAATTTTTCCTCCTTAATTTTTACTGAGCTGGACGGCTGTGACGGTTGTGATGGTTTTTCGTGAGATTGATCCAAATTCATTTCTTTCTTCATTTTGTACGAAATCCATTCGACATTGCACGTTGGCACGCATGTAATTTCAATCGGTGTCATTGTTCGATTGAATGAACGGTTCACGGTTTGTTGGAATGGTTTCTTGTATGAATTCTGTGACGCGGCAACGGAAGCAGCATCAACTACATCATTTTCATTTGCATTCTGTTGAGTGAGTCGTTTCGTTTGGCTTGGACGCGGTTTCCGCTGTGTGAAATTAAAACCGCCATCATCGTCATCATCATCACTTTCTGCTAATTTATTTCGTTGAGGAGTACGTTGCTGTGTTTGTTTCGATGTGGTTTTGGATCGCTTTGACTTTCGACTGAATTTAAATAGGTTACCACCATCGTCGTCATCTTTTTCTTCGTCCGAATCAGCGGTAAGCATACGTACGGCTCGTTTCCGAGTTATCTTGCTCGACTCGGGCGTACTTGGCGGAGCGACCGCCTGTTCCTGCTGTTGCGTAGCCTTACGTTTCCGACTTTGTGTGCTAATAAAACCAGAAAAGTTGTGATCACTCGGTGACTGAGGCGGCAATGGTGCGATGAAAAGACCCGAACTATTCTCACCTTGACTTTCAACCGCATTTTGAGTTTTCTGCTTCTTTTCTGGCACACTGTGTTCACCACTGTCAATTGTTGATTGTCCCGGTTTTTCTGATCCATCCTCTTGATCGGTGTGCTTACGTTTTGGATTCTTTTTCGGTGTTGGCATTTTCGTGGACACATTCAACGCATCATCGCCAGAACTTTTCGTTGAGCTTCTGGTTGATCGTCGTCCAGTCGACGATGTGGATGGTTTGCCCAAATCAGCTGCTTCGTCGCTGCGAAGATTGTTGTTTGGTTCAGTTCCTGTGAGATCGGCCGATTCAGGAATCACCAAGTTCATACTGGAAGCTGGTGGCTCTGGCTTTGTTATGTGCGGAGTTTCATCTGTGTAAACATCTTTCACGATTTCGTTTGTATTGACCGGCGTTGGTTGAAAACTAATTGTCATTTGACGATCTGGATTGCAAAAACGGTCGATGGCACGGTGAATGATGGCCAAACCGATTTCTGTTTCGCTTACGAGCCGACGACCATTTGATTCAATGTACCGCACAATGTTTTCGATATCGGATGAACATTGTGAATTGAGCGAAGGAGTGTACTGTACCGGAATATACTCGCTTTTGATCAAAAGTGCCTTACGTACTTTGTCCTCTTCCATGTTAATGCATTTGCCGGCAGCTAGACGGATGATTGGCTCAAACTTTTCCATGTGCCGTTTCACCATGAAGACGAACGTTTTATTCTGGAACAAGCGCTGTCGGTCGATGTGCACCTCCATCATTTTTGGCTCCTTGATGATATACGGCTCAACGATTGTCGGAACGAATTCGTTGACGTTTGGTAGTTCGTGTTGTGCTGTGGCACATTCTATGCAGGCCTCAAAATAATCTGGCGACACAATCGGTATGCCGTGTGCAAGTGACTGTAGCACTTTTACCGTTACAGTCACATTCGTCATCACCAAATGCGTGCAATCAGTACTCCAAACGGGTAGCAGTTTACCATCAAGAATTTTCAAGTGTTTGCTCAATTTATCCGTTTCATCCGGTTGCATTGACGATGTGCACGCGTTAATGACAACGTTTTCGAGACGAAAAGTGTTTTCCAATCGACCGAAGCGAACAATATTACCAATTTGTAGGTCGATCGCTGTATTTTTCGCAATCTCCGTATTTGTGTTGATGCCATCGTTAATAAATACGCCATACTTTGAGCCCGTATCTTCAACACGAACACCGGATGACGAACGGTGAATCACAGCATGTTCTCGGCTAACTGACGTATCATCAGCCAAACGCAAATCACATTGTGGCACACGGCCAACAGTGTACTTCCTTGTGTTGTTCAACAAAAAGAAACGACGGTCTGAAAAGCAAAGAAGAACACATTTAAACCAATTTATATTAGATGTGCCTTGTATTTGATGCTATTGCAAATAAGAACAATGGTCGTATATTGTGCTGTTTTGCACACTTGGATGCTTTCATTTTTCAATAGATAAATAATAGTCGATCCGATCAACAGCTTTGAATGGATATTTTAGTCAAATTTTATATTTAGTGCACGTATTTCAAAAAGAAGCATCAAAATTGTACAAAAATCGTACGAAGTCATGGAGCAATTTTTTCACGATGCATTTTTAGACTTTTGCTGACTGGGCTAAACTAAGTCGCAAAAGATATTCTCCCAATGGTACGAAGAAATGCCTATTTCATAATATGTTGAAATTCTCAAAATTCCATTAAATCAAAATTAATTTTCTACTCACCGGTTGTAATGTGAATGAAAACCCACATGTTAGAATTCAATTGCCCTTGGAAAAATTTCGCAAATTCAAGGAAAAAAAATCAAAAGAATGAATTGTTCAACATCAAACCGGTTGTGTCCAGCACTAAACTTGGTTTGTTGCAATGAACTGTCAAAAACAGCGGTCTCTTGCTCAGCAGGGTGCGTTCACATGTCAAATCGATTTGGCAATGACATATCGACCAGAAACACTCATTTTTACGAGACGTAAACAAAACGTAGGGTTCATTAGTGGGTAAAAGGGAAAAAATATCAATAAAATGAATATTCTGCCACATAAGAGGTAAGGGATTGAAATATTTTTTTTTGTATTTATCGAAGAAAAAAATTAAATTCATTGTATTTTGCAGTTGGCATGTGCGTACGAAAGCGAACATCGCTAAAGTGCGAAAGGATCAGGCCAAAGCAGCTGAGGAAGAGGCGGAGAAACAGCGACGTGTCGCTGTTGCAGTAAGTGAATGCAATTCCATATTTCGAAGATCAATTTGATAACAAAAGTTTAATTTTTTAGGATTATGAAGCCCGCATAAGTCTCCTTAGAAATCGTGCGAAACAAACACCTACATCACAAGCAGCTCAAGAAACAAGTTTGGATCTTGATGGTGAAACTCAGCCAGTGTCTGCTTCGGAACACATTGACTTATTTTCCGATCATGAAGACAAACAGAAGAAGGTCAAGCCAATGGATGAGGAGAAGCGGCAGGAGCAGGAAAAGTATGAGAAACAAATCGGTTATCTAACGTATTTGGGACAGGACACACATGAGGCAATGGGCACACGGAGCTGGTACAACTCAGCACCGAAACGAAATTCAGAGAGTGTGTATGATGAAAGTGGAGAAAAGGTTGAAATTGGTCTGAAAGTCAAACATCTACATGATCCGATGATGCAATTCTTAACGAAGAAGAAACCCATAACGGTGGATGGCAGTAAGATGGGTAATGGAGGTGATTCAAAAAGTGTAAACATTGACACAAAACCGATTGCAGTGAAAGCGATGCCAACTATTCTAGAAAAACCAATGTCACGCAAAAGATCAACATCACCAGAGAGAAAGCATAAGAAAAGTAAAAGTAGTAAACGATCGAAGGAAAAGAAAGTGAAGAAAAACAAAAAGAAGAAATATAAAAAGGAAAAACGAAAGCGAAGACACTCGTCTGCTAGTGATAGCAGTAGTGACAGTGAATCGGAGCAACTGAGACAGCATAAAATGTTAGCCTTGCAACAGTTGCGTGAAGAACGATTGCAACGTGAAAGACAAGAGCACGAAAAAACAAAAGAGTTGCTGAGGAAAAAGTGTCCATCGCTGTTGCCACCTGAAGAACTGAAAAAGCCCGAAGAAGTCAATACCGAGCCACGAATGCCGGCAATGAAACAGAAATACAATTCACAATTCAATCCGTATTTGGCGAAACAGAATTATGGCTAATTTTTAGAATATGACAATGAAAAATGCATTTAATTCAAAATTGGATTTTATTTATAAAACACGGAACGATTGTTTCATTTCATCTACAGGTAATAATCGTCTCACATCTCACAGATATTCACCGAACCAATGATGATCGTATTTTCCAAGCCATTTGTGGCATCCGTTCAGGTTATTTTGAATGACATACTGTTTGGTGAATGGATTCAAGTTTCTCTTTTTGTCCGTCAATTTTTTCTGTTCGATCTCGTCGAGCATCGTTTGCGACACGGCCATCGCCTTAAATGGTAGATTCACAGCAACGTGGTTCAACATGCTCTTAACTTCATCGAATTCACAATCACCACCAATTTCAAGAATCACTCGGCCAGCACGAATTGGAATGGCATAATGGTCGATAGATCCTTTACCACCGCCCAAACGAACACCAACACCTTTCTTGTGCAACGGTTGCCACGGTTCGGGTATACGCCAAACGGCAAACATTCGCGATGTATCCATCTTACGACCAATACTCAATCGAACCATTTCAATGTGTGGATACTTGATACGACCACCCATCAATGCGATAACTCCGAACTGCTTGTGAACGAGCTGCGTGTTGTGCTCGACTTCAGGTCCTCGCATCAAAATCAATCGCTTTTGCATTCGAGGCGGTCGAATGTTCGTATACTGTGGCACTTTCAGCATCATTCGCAACTTTGGCTTATTTGGAATTTCGATACCTGATTTTGTAGATGTTCCAAATGAAATCTTATTATCCAACAAAAATGGTTGTGTCAATATGAAAATAATCTACCATCATAACTTTTGAGCGGTTTAAAATCCTTCAGACCAGCACTTTGAATGAGCAGCGGAGTCGAGGCCTTTGGAGCTAGAATTCACAGAATTTTCATGACACCCATCTTTGTGTGTGGAATAAACGAAATTTAAAAGTAAAAATAAAACATTTTTTCGTTACCCAAGCTCGCCAATGTGTTGAATGTTTTCAAAACAAACATTTTTCAGCGGATCCGTGAACTGTGTGTTGAAAATACGAAAAATGAATAAAAGTGAGGTTAGGTGCGAGTGACAGTTGGCAAGTATGTGAAATATATTGTCAATGTTTGAAATGCAGTACTAAAATGCTTAGATTTAATCGAGATGATTGTTTTCTTTTCATGTCATTCAATATATTTATTCAATTGATACACAAAGCAAAAAAATATGATGAAGAGAAATTCTAGCTACAAGTTGCAGTTCGGAATTGATGCCATTTTTCTGTAATGTGCTTACGATGTGGCCAGATATACTGCTCGCCGATGAAGCACCAGAATCTGAAATGAATGAATCAATCATTTTATTGGAGAAATAATGAAAATGAGACAAAAATGACTCTTTTAAGACATCGAGAATATGTTTCTCACACTCCAAACAATGCTCCACCCAAATGAGCTGCATGGTCAAAGAATTTCCAGCCCATGACACAGCCAATGATATCAACTGCCATAATCACTTTAATCGCACTGTCCGCGGAGAATTGAAACATGGGCAAAAACATGATTTGCAGCTGTGTATCCGGATATCTTGTACAAACATAACCCAAAATGCCAAGAATCGCTCCTGACTGGAAAAGAACAAACGGTTAATGAAATGAAAGAAAAAATAGACAAATATTTAAGTCACTTACAGCACCCAAAGAAGCTCCACTGATTCCAGTAGACACTTTGTGCATATAGCTAGCAAAACTTGCAACAACCCCGGCGCTCAAATACATGGCCAATGTTTGCTCTTTGCCCAAGGCCATGCAAACGCCATTACTGAAACTGTTCAACACGTACATATTAGCGAAAATGTGGAAAAACGAATAATGGCTAAATGTTGAAAGCAGCATCGAACGACAAGGAGCCGCTGAAATATTATTACATTCGCAATTAGTCAATGTTCAAGTGAAATATTGCGTAGGAACACTTACGACCCGCTGGATTTGCGCAAAAATTTCGCAGCAACATTGTTTGCAATCGTGGAATACGCCATAAGGTAAATACCAGCATATTTAATCCAAAAATCGGAATAAAAAATTGATCACCCGGCGAAAGACGTTCCCATGCCTCTTTTAACTGACCATCTGTGAACCGGTTCCAGGCACCTTTTAGATCTGAAATCTGTGTAAATTCGTTTGCATTGTATCAAGTCGATCGGAGCAAATAAGTGCATTTTTCTTACATTCTTTTGTCGATTTTGAAAAAACTTCGTCGATGAATTCATCATTTTGCTCACTTGACTACGAACATATTCGTATTCCCATATCGTAGCACCGACTATAGATGCGGATGATACCTGGTTTAAATGAAACGATTAGCTAAAAATTCAACACACTGCATTGAAATGATTCAAAGTCAATTCTTCAAATGCCATTCAATGCGAACGAAATAATATCAAAGTCCATTTAAAGCTCTTACTCCAACTGTGAAAACAAGCGGCCGCACTAAATGTGATAGTTTCATCGATTGTCTGAACTCTTGGGCTAATTCTTCTTTTATCCTATCTTCAGCTTGATTTGATTGGAAGCGAAACGACGTCTTGATGCGAGTATGCGGCGATGATACATTTTTTTGAAAAATCTTACTACTGCGATGTAGCTGTGAAAAATTCCTACAAGTTTGGCTACAGACCAAAGAGATTCGTGTCAACATTTACTTGGAAAACAAAACTCAGTTTAAATAATTTTAATTCTGTTCACTTACACTGGAATTAGCAAACGAGTGCCACACATCACTCTGTGCAGAAACATATTGTCAAATGTGATTTATGTTCGACTCAATAAACTAAACAAAAATAAAAATATTTAAACGATTTCAAAATTGTTTTCGATTATTGCATGCTTTTGGTTAGCTCGAAACAACTGTCGATCCGTTTGACAGTTCATTGTGTCAAAAAATGCACTCAGTGTTGCTCAGTTCTGGTGTTTGGGCTCAAATATATTATGCACACACATTGATTCATGCACGAGAAAGAGACCACTATATGATTTGTTACAGAGTATGTAACGCGTTGAGTGAAAGGAATGTAATGAATTATTGTCTGCTTGACATAATTATTTCTACAGACGATTGCGCTGAACAAAGCAACAATAAACAAATAATTTCTCTCTGCAGCAGAAAGGCAGCCACAAACATGAAGTGCTTGAGTGGATATTTAATTTTATACAGAGTATAAAATTGTTGTGAATGGATAGTAAAAAAAATTATGAATGGAAGAAAAAAAGTTTAAAAAAAAGAAAAATTGAAAAGAAAATAATTAATTTTCTCCACATAAGCATAGAGAGTGAAGAAGCCAAGCAGTTCAATGTGTTGAAATGGAAGGCGAGAAATTTTCCTGGTTTGCAAAGAATTATTTGAGGAAACGGCCACGACTTGAGTCCACACCATTTGCTGAAGATCAAATGGCGTCCACATCAACATGTATGCCCTCAACATCGTCCACAACTACCCGTAGAGTAGCTAGACAACGTATTCTGATTGAACCGAGCGATGAGCAGCTGCTGAAATGGCAAGAGAGACAGATATCCGAGTGCATCGTTGAAAATACCGTTAATCAAATGGTTGAATCCTATCTTACATTTATCGAAGGTGAAAATACGAATAATGGAGCACGAAATGAATTGGAACGCGAAGCATATCATGCATACAGAGCTCAGGAAAATTTTGAAGACTCTGCCATTGTATGGGCAATTGATCAATATGGCTTGCAGCAGCACAGTCAACAATTTTTTAATGACAATCGCACCGAAACTATGTCTACGTCATCATCATCGATATCATTGTCATCACCGCCACATTTACCGTCACAAGATGACCTGTACTTTTTTAAAAGTTCACAAGATAAAAATCAAGATCAAGCAGAATCAAAAAGTGCGTCCAATTCGCAAGCTGAATGTTCACAGGAGGGCGAATGTAGTAAAGCAACAGAGAATCAGGTATCTGAAGCATCCGATCAAGGGGAAAAACTTAACGAATCTGCAGCCGAGCCACATCAATCAGCTGCTGGACAGGCAATAAACGATGAACATTTCGATTTTATGGAAGCTGCCGTTGCAGTAGCCATTCAGGAAAAAGGTCTTGTTTCGTACTCGATGCAAAAATCACCAAACAGATAGTACAAAAAAAAATCAGCAAGCTGCATAATTCATTTTATTTCCGTTGCTCTCAAGTTGCGCAGACATTATTCGAATATATAGATGCATACATATATCTCCGTACACTATTTAAGAGTTTGAATTAATTAACAAAACTTCATTTTAAAAAGAAGTAGCCAGTAGAATTTTCGTGTGATTTTTTCTCGTTTCAAACAAATAAAAATAAATCTTTCATTGAAGTATAAACGTTCAGTCTTGTTTCGATTGTAGTTGGTCAATATTTCCAATTGGGTCTCAGGCTCAGCGCAAAGCTCTTTGTTTACGTTTACGTTTTTCTCTCTCTTTCTCTTTACTTTTTATTTACATTTTGCTCAAGACGTCAAAATCTAGTACGTTCTGACGAACGAGTCGAATGCTCGCAATGGCTATGTATGCTAAGCTCAAATGTCATTCGTCATTGTCATTTTGGTTAAACAGCCTATCGTCTCGTCTATTGAAATTGTTCTCATTCTAACGCAATCGAATCGAATATTTGTGCTTCATTTGTCATTGATAAGACTTACTTTTTTTTACTCTAAAATTCATCGACAATATTATACGATTAAAAAAACGTTCATCAATTTCGTTCGCCAAACAAAAATCGACAAGCATCAATATGGTGAGAATATAACTACGCTGTTTGTGTATATACATAATTCATAGATTCAATACTTTCGAATGGTATTTTCCGTGACAGATTCACAAACAACGAAAATTCATGCAAAATCATTTGCTATATACATCACAAACATCGTATAAAAATGCAACACATTTCTTTTTAAAGATTCGAATTGAGATATTGATGCAGTTTTTTTTCCCTTAATCGTTTGATTTCAGTTCCAGTTCAATGGTTTCAATATGATGTTTCCAGAGGCACGGCCATTTAACAACTCGTACAGATGTTATTCGGTGTCGATGTTGCCGGGCAACGAGCGTCAAGATGTTGAAAAAGGAGGCAAAAGTAAGTAAATTCAATCACATCTATGTTATTCGACTATTGTGATTCACACAAATAATCAATCGCATTGTGTTCTTTATTGCAGTTATTATGCCACCATCGGCTCTCGATCAGCTGACTCGACTGAATGTTGTTTACCCCATGTTGTTCAAATTGACAAACAGCAAAAAAAGTCGCATCACACACGCGGGCGTATTGGAATTCGTGGCCGATGAAGGCAAAATCTATATTCCATACTGGGTAAACACTTGATATACGGCCATGTCTAAATAAGTTGTGAGAATTTGCGTCGAATGAATTATTTGGCAATTGTTCATTTCAGATGATGCACAATTTGCTGTTGGAAGAAGGTGATATTGTTCAAATCGAAAGCGTTTCACTTCCAGTCGCCACATTCTCAAAGTTCAAGCCACAGTGTCCGGATTTCTTGGAAATCACCAACCAAAAGGCTGTGCTGGAGAATGCACTGCGAAATTTTGCGTGTTTGACCACCGGCGATCTGATTGCCATCAAATATAATTCGAAAATTTACGAACTCTGCGTACTCGAGACAAAACCCGGCAATGCCGTCAGCATCATTGAATGTGATATGAATGTGAGTGATATTCTGGAATCATGAACGATCGTATTGTTCACAAGAGTTGAATGCTGAATCAATGGTTTGAATCTATTAATCTATTTTCGTAGGTTGAATTCGATACGCCCGTTGGATATCAAGAGCCAAAACGTATTTTCAAAAAGAAAGACGATGAAGATGCGGAGGCCAATGAACACATGCAAAACCATTACGATAACAGCCAATTCATTGCATTTTCGGGTGAAGGCAATCGTTTGGATGGAAAAAAGAAGAAATGTGATAAGCCAGAACCGCCACCTGGTGCACGGGTAAGCAGACCATTAATTGCTTTCATTTATCAATCTATTCTTAGCTTCGGTCTAACGAGTGCTTCGTACTTCTATTTTCCAGACGTATGTTCGCGGAATTCCCGACTACGACCATCCCTACGGCTTGATTCGATTCGACCGATCGGTGAAACCAATCAGTGACAGAACTGAATCCAAATCGAACGGCAATGACGACGATGAAGGCTTCAAAGCTTTTCAGGGCGAAGGGTTCTCTCTGCGAAAAAGCAGGAAATGATGATATTCATAAGACTTTTGAGCTGGTGCAAAGCATTCACACATCTTTGAATTGATAAATTTACACAAACAAACACACGAAATAAAGAGGGAGAAAAAAAACAAACAATCGAAAATGGGTCCTTTTCCAAAATTGAATAACTTATCGTTTATTATTATTTACTTCTATTGTATCAAACATGAGTTATATATATTGAATAAAAAAAACATTTGAAATAAGGATATCGATGATAAGGTCAGATGTAGTTTTTTCATTAACAATTTTCGTTTTTTTTGGTCATAACGCTAATCTAAACGCTACCAATCTTTGTTCAATCACAACTGTTGATCACATTATTCAAATCATGACAATATGCATAGTACTTTTTTGTTCAGATACAAATATAATAGGCCATTCAAAATTTTACAAATGGTCGGCACAAATGACGTTGACCATTTGACAGATTCGATCTTTGAACGGTTGGAACACAATAGTTTGGTTCGGATCGCTGACTGTGTGTTGCATCAAGTAGTGAGAATCAACGAAAATATTCAACGGCATCATTCGATTCGAGCACCATAAGTAGTATTTGGTTGCGGTTGGCATGATGAAAAATCCCCGCAAGTCGCACAGGAATAAGTTCTTCACTTGCATCACACTGTTGACCAGCACTTCGATATCATTAGCATCGCGAACGGCTGTATGATCGAGATAGAGATTTTTGACATGGCCCCATTGTTTGTTCAGCTCATGTGACAGCGCTTTCAAGTCAAACAAAGATTTGATCTTTCGAAGTTCAAGCGTTTCAATGTTGTTCACTTTCGGCAGGGTTAATAGCTCGCGAAAACCAAATTTCCACAAACCGAGCACTTTCAGTGTGTTCATTTTGGCCAATTGACTGACGACATCGTGAATCGGTTCGCTGTAACCCTGGCAACTGATGACGACACGTCTCAGCTGCGTAAACGAACTGAACAGGTACACATAGTCGATGTTTTTGTTGAGATCGATGGAAATGTCGGTCAGACGCGGTACAATATTATCAAATGAACTGGTCCATGATCGTCCATATGACAGCGGTACATTCGGCATGTAGTTGAAGTGTTTGATCGATCGATTTTTTCGCAAGAAATGACCAAGCACTTCTTCATCGGTGAGCCGGGCTGAGATAATGGTCAATTTCTGCATGGATGAAAATTTTTTGTTCAAAAACTTCAAGTCAACCTCTTGATCGCGTCCGATGAACACCAACTCCCTTAATTCGTCAGCCACCTTGAGGAATACGTTGTAGTTGACGCCATGTTTTGTGGCTATCGTACAGTACAGCAATTCAATCGTCTCCAGGTGTTGAACCAATGTCTTCATGATGGCCATTTCGGGCTTGTCAAAGTGGTAGCAAATCAATTTGAGTTTCTTCAGTTTGCTGCATTTTTGGGTGAGCATCGTTAAAATCGATGTGTTCAGTTCCCATGCAATCGATCCGTTGACTGTAACACTGTTGATGATTGGCCCAAAGCATTTGATGATGCGTACTATCTCCGGCATATTGAACATCAAATCGTCAAAGTGAACGGCACCAGCATACCGTCGTTCAAATGTTCGACTTGCCATTTTCCGCAAGCGACGACAAACACCTTTTACGACACAAAGTTCTTCGACAGATAAGTACTCCATTACATTCAATAGAGAAGTTTCGCACAAATCATTGAAATCGGTAGCTTTGTGATTCTTTGACGCCATTTTGATGGTTTTTTTCCACTGCAAATCAAACACACGAAAAAAAAACATTTAATTTTCTGTCTCGTATTGCGGATAACATTCACACAAACATTAATTGACCGTCAATTGCTTGTACAAACCTTTTGGAATGGTTGGTTTTTGTTTAATTTTCTTAAACAGTCGATGTTTTTGTTCTGAAAGAAATCTTCGAACTTGTTTGATGTTATCACATTAAGAGCGTTCTTCTCTCAGCTCCGATGAACCAGCGAATCAGTATCGTATTGATATCCGTTATTTGCGCCAACCAAAGCTCTGATTGGAACTGCGACCGCATCAATGTTGATGGCGTTGTATGCGTTCTTTTTCTGCTGTTGACACTTTCATTGGCCTTAACCTCACTACGGCTTGAGTGCATAAAAAATAGATATTTTTGTGAAAGAAAATAAAAATTCAATAAAAATTGGCAATGGCAACGAAATTGCTTCGACTGCGAACACAGCTCACACAATCCTACACCACGAGCAGTTCACTGGTGAAGACAAAGTTGAATACAATTCAAAGTAGAATAAATAATTTTGAAATACCTGAACGTTTCAAAGGAACTGTTGTTGAGAAGTGGCTGCAGTATTGGAAAGGCCTAGTAACCGATTATCGTGATGTTTTCTTGGGTGTGATTCAACAATTAAAAGAGAAACCGATTCGAGCAGCCATCTACGGTGGATTAGGTGGTGCAGCAGTGTACACTTTTAAACACAATCCCAATGAAGTGGATTTCATTCAACAGCTTCGAGAATATAACGTTAGAATGGTGATGATAGATCCGGTGTGCCAGAATCCAATCTCGTCGCAATATCTCATATTCGTGGAGCGATGCTACAACGAAGGAATTGTTCGGAAACTTAATCTGGGCATTTTCTCACTGCTTTGGCTCGACAACTACAATCGAGCGTTGGGATTGTACAAAACAACCTGCTCATTCACACAGCCCGAGCTATTGACCTGGCACCAGCGAATCATTGACGTTGGCTTCCTGGATAAATGGTGGATAATTGAGAAGAAAATGATAGACTTTGACATTAATGAGGATAATTTGTAGACAAATACACCAAATCTGTTGTAGTCCACGAGCGCATTATGTGTTAAGTTACCTGTAAATAGAATAATGTTATGCAAATATATATATTTACTTTGGCTTTGCTGAGTCAAATGAAATGCATTATTTTCTATGTCTTATGTTTAATTCTTTGGGGAAATTCTTTTTCTGCTGTTCCATTCATTTTTCAGATTCAAAAATCTTGCAATTGATTCTTAACCAAACTTTCTTAAGTAACTTGATAATGACATTTGCCCGTTGTCAAAGCAACTCAGCGATGACACTTTGACAGATTGTAAAGAAAAACATGCTTGTTTGCATGCACTGATTGCGTTGAGATATATTTTTTTTTGTATTTGCCGGTGATAAATATCACAGCAGCATTGAGAAGTACGTTGTAAAATGGAAAAGGGTAAGAAGCCTGTAAAAAATGCCAAGAAGATAAGCAATAACAAAAATGACAAAAAGGCCCAAATCAATAACCAGGTATGAACACGAACAGTGAATTTCCAACGTTTGTGTTGACTTGAAACGAAATTTTGGATGCGAATTGGCTTTGTTAACAACAAAAGTGTTCACTTATTCACTAACAGATAATCCAACTGCAAGGGAAATTCAAGCAGGCAAAAGTGGCTACCGTTCGTAAGCTTGTAGACAAATTGAAACACCCGGAAAAAAATCCGAAGCAAAATCGAGCGGCCAAATCTGAACGTTATCAAAATGTTTTGAATCAAATTAAGGTATGTGCTGTCCTTTGAGGCAATAAACAATCTTTAATCGTTCAAACTAAATCGCTAATATTCTGATTAATTGGTTCATTTAGCACATGTCACCGAAGCGACTTGGTTTACTGGCACTCATGTATTACAAATCGGGAAAGAACTATCTGGCCGATTCCAGTTCAACCGTTGACCAGCTTGTTGTGGGATACTTTTGCGAGCACAAAAGTGTAAATGATATTTTGGATGCGATTAGGAAGAAATTGAAATTGGACGAGTCATGGAATTGGAGAAGATCAGTTAGGAAATTATTCAAAAAGAAAAACAAGACTTTGAATGCAGAAAAAGTGAAAAAGAAGAAGAATTCGTTCACTGAAACCGATGGCACTGATTCGACGGCAACAACAAAGGGTAAACATAAAAAGGATCAACAAAAAGCAGAACCAAATGGTAAACCAGAGAAGGCCGTTAAACCTAAGAAGAAACAAAAAGAGCCTGATGCTGAACCGAGCGAATCGGAAGAGTCTGATTCGAGTGAAAGTGATGACGATGTCGATGTTAGACCCGCCGAAAAGAACCAAGTGTCCGAGCCACCAACAACAGTTGATGACTTCTTCATAACAGCCGACGGATCAAACTACCTATCGACCGCTATACCGAATCAAAAGCAGGAAGTAGACTCTGATGGTGAAACCAATCAACGTTTGTATCGCAGCAAAGACTTTGATAGGAAACCAAAAGAAGCATCGTTCTTCCACAAGAGTGACAAAAAACCAGTAAAACTAGCAGTCAACCGATCTGAGGGCACGAAACGCAAATGGTTAGACGATAGAGAGGAACAAACGGGTCAACCAATGGAGAAAAAGGTTGATCCAGAACTGCATCCATCGTGGCAAGCAAAACAAAAACTAAAACCAACCATTACCGAATTCAAGGGAAAGAAAATTACATTCGATTGAAGTAGTTCATATCATTATTTTTTTCTGTAAATCATTTTCATATGCATAAATAAAATCAGTTGATTTTAGCGTAGAATCACATTGTCTTGCATAAAAGTTTCGCTTCAATTGAATATATATCAAAAAAATGTCTGTTTACAGCATGTGCGTGTGTTGAGGTAAACACACACGTTCAACTGTCATTGCGATGCAAGACCATTTCGATCTGTCAACGGCAAATTGTCACAATTCAGTGTTCCCAAAAAAATTGATGAAAACCGAATAACTTGTGAACAATGTCTACGATTCAAAGCATTTTGAATCGGACAAAAGACATTCGGCTTTTGTGTGGTCGTCTTACTAATTTAAGCATAACAAAAAATATAACAAAACCCAATTTTCTATGGTAAGTTTTATTTGAATCTGAAAACTAGGCAGCGAAAAAAATTGAATGCCCCAAAAAAATGTGAGGTTATGTTGATGTTCCAAAATAAATTGTGTTTTCACCATTGTTTCAGTCCACAAATTGGGAATCAAACAAAATTGCTGGTGGCCGGTTTCCACAGCACCACGCCACGCTATGATCTGATGGAATTTTTCGATGATAAAAAGAATTGGGCCAAAAATGAGGTGCGAAGTGGTAGAAGCTGGCGATTGGACGAATTGCGAATCAAATCAAATTCCGAATTGCACAAGCTGTGGTATGTTTTATTGAAGGAGAAAAATATGCTGCTTACAATGGAGCACGAATGCAATCTAGAGGCCGAGCTATTTCCCAGTCCGGAGCGCGTCGATAAAGTACAAGAATCGATGAGCAACATCGAAACAGTGGTTCGCGAACGCAACAAAGCTTATCATCTGTTGGAAACTGGTCGTGATGGTGAACGACCGGCTCGTATGGAAGCCAATCGACTTGGAATCAGATATCTATACCGGTAAAATCATTACAATCGAGTACATTTGCAAGATAAACAAACGGACGATTTTTTTTCTCGCACATTTCAGGACAAAGGAATACTTCATTCCACAAAAGTTCAACAAAAATTTCAGACGGCGCTTCTTCAATGAATATCATTACGACAGAGATGTGCAAACTTTCCTTCGATTCTATCGCGAAAAATTATTCAGACTCAAGACCAGAGCAAAGAAGTAAGTCAAGAAACCCGATTTGAGTTCCGGCAAATGAGATAATTTTTCGATTTATCTGTCTTTTGTTTCAGTCGCGATAAGAATCACGTTACCAAGTTGATGTCACGCTTTCCGAACTTGGACCGGAAGCTTCTTGAACGCGAATATCCTCACGTTGATATCAAACGAATTGAATTCAAGGATAGAGCACGCGGTCATTTCGCTCCAAAAATCGACTAATGTCATGGAGACAGTCGTTACAATTTAAGCATTTACACGTTTAGAACATTTTAAAAATAAAAACAAATTGAAAAGAAAAAGGAGAAATTGACAACGTCTTCATTTATTTAGATAGATAAACGTACGGTTCGTATTACCACCTAATTTTAGAAAACCAATTGATCAAATACTATCTGGCTTTTATGACGCATTATATGTACAACCGTAGGTAGCAGTAAACTCAAATAAAATGTTTTACACAGTGTTTGGTAAATATTATTGTCTCGCATATTTGATTACGTAAGCAAGTAATCTTAATTGTGAAAGAATTTGAAAGTCCAGATGACATATAATCGCCATCGTTTGGTCGATAACCGATCACGTCGACTGATAAAATCCACTAAATAAAAATCTATTTATGAGCTAAAGCTCACGTAATTCTTATCATTTGAAGAAGGCACTCGTTTTCAATTGGTTTCAAGATTAAATCGCTTCGATCGTTACAATTTGTCCGTACTTTTTTTTTGGCTCGGAAAGTGTACTTAGAACACAAATCCAAACTCTTGAATTTTTTTTTGCAGAATCTTGTTATGCACTCCATGAATTTGGTGACAATAAGTAAAGATGTCACTCTGGATTGCATTCAACACAATGTTTAGTTCAACTCCAAAATGATGAGAATTTTTTCATGGGAAAATGGAGTTTTTAACCAACTGAATCATCTCAACAAATTTATGGTCAATTTTATCACAGGCGCCTAAGAATCCATTGTTCGTAATTTCTGCTGTCAGTGTTGTTGTTGTTTAAATTTACGCGCGCCACACACACACACACACACACACATACCTATCCGATTGTACGATATGTGCAGTCTCTAGACTACGTATTTAGAGGAAGAGCACAACGCATTATCGCCAACTTAATAGCATATACAGTACGGGTAGATTGACAACACAACGCACTGTGTAGCACAGTATAAGGTCAGTCGTAAATTGTTGCGCCGAACGAACGGAGGTCTTTGTGCGCTTCAGTTGTACGGAAACAATCGCACTAAAGAAAAAAACTCACCAACTAACAACGACAGCTCAACAGCAATTTTTCTTTCAATTTTATTATTTCGTTTGTAATATCCTTTTATTTTCTTTTGTTTCTCATTATCGGTTCAATTATTAACTTTCGGTTTTCATTTGTGACAATGATAATTGGTTCAAATCACATTTGAGTCTTATTTGTTGTACATATTTTTTTTTAATTTGTGACCATTTGCAACGTCAAAGATTGTTTAAGTATTTGGCATTGGAATGAAATCGTGTTGTATTTAGTTTTGTTTTCATGAAAATGAAGTAAGAAATTTCAAAAGAAAAAAAAAGTTATTGTAAAGAGCAAAAAAAGAAGAAAATCGGAATTGCACGATAAATGTTTGAAGTGCCTCACACGGAATCCTATAGAAATTTCAACTAATTTCGTGATATGTAAATGTCAAGTCATATATTCTATAAGAATAGATGATAAAAAAGCAACAGCTAATTACAACGGTATAGGTGTGAGCGAGTAAGAGAGAGAGAGAAAGAGTGAAATCTACACATCCGAATTCATGTAAGCAACAACACATTTTATCAGCTAAACATAACTTTGCTTTCGTCAGTGTTCTGTTTTCTTTCTCTGTTCGGTATCTCTTTCGGTCGAGCCCGTTGTCACGTTGAAAACTGATTTTTCCTGATTTCACAACATAGAGGTTGTGTTACAAAATGTAAAAATAATGCGTCGCATTAGATTTTGACATTGCCATCGAATCGAACGAATTTGGAGAATCCAAAGAGCTAATATTTGCCCAATTAACACGCGTGCAGAGAACGGCGGACTGAAAAAAAAACCATTTAACACAATAAATTGATCAATATTCATTTTGTACTGGTGCACATTTCTCACATAACATTTAAAATGTCACAATCATTTCTCTTATGTGACTTATTATTTCATTGACAATGCCAAGCAAACGAACATTGTTTTTGCTGGCCATTATTTGAGAATAGGTGTGATATCCCAAATGATCCGGAATGTAAACATTCGACATACTAATTTGTGCGATTCATTTTGCATGTTTACTGAAAACAACTGGTGTAAGCACGACGGCTAAGCAAATCGACGTAAACCAATTTCTATGACCCTTTGTTTGCAGAACGTCTTGAAAATGAAAGCAATTGTGGTTTGCGTTGTTTTGTTTTTTCTTCTTGTTTTATTTCTTCTGTTGCTCACCTGCTTCTTTACCCAGCTTTTGAACACATCACGCACTTTGTACGAAGCTTCTTTTCTTTGTTGATGAGCCCAATGACAGTTCGACGAAAAACCAGTTATTATAAACGTAGCATTAATGAAATAAACACAATCGTTGATTTCACAATCTCATTGGATTGAATATTTTTAGCTAAGTTTCTATGCAAAAAAGTGTTAAACACCCGATGCACACTACATAGCATTGACATTTTCACGTGGTGCTTTGCTATTTGCAGTCTTGATGAAAGCTAAACAAAAATAAAACGAATTTACCGTGTAATTTGATCTGTTACCATAGTCCAGTGCGATAATACAGCTGTGTAATTAATGAAATGACTCAAACAAAACATGAATTGCAGAACTAAATGACTGCAAAATTGAATGTAATACATTTCATATCTCAAATTTTTTTTTGGATATTTGTTGATGCAAACGATGTGCGGAGAAAAGCGAACGCAAACACAAACACATTATCACATTTTTTGTGTTGATATGCAAGGCGTGACTCGGTTTCAGTTGACTTAGAATTGACTTGCACTGAGAATTCGTGGATGAGTGATAACATGGATATATATAGAGAGATGAGTGTGCTTTGAGCGTGCAAAACGCTGAAAAGGCAAAAGGATGAATTTCAATTGTTATTCTTCTCAAAATAATCATTGTAATCAAAATGATTTATCGCCAAGCCAATACAAATCGTCCATAAATTACATCACTTGACTACTGCCATGAAAAAAAATTCCACTTATTCATACCGCAAATTGAATTGGAGACCGTTTTTTCTGTTTTTATCTTTTAATGTGTACTTTACCGGCTATGAATCAGCCGAATTAGTGTTTCAAGTGATGGCTTCAGAATGTCATCCAGTTCGAAATTTTCGGTACATCTTCACATTTGGCAGCAACCAATTCTATCCAATAAAATAAAAGCGGTTCCAAACCCAATTAAATTATTTACTCGTTCGGCAAACCTTTTGTGCAATGCATTTATCATATTCCGGTTCAGTGTGACACGGATGAAAATACCGTGTAATTATCATGGAACAATATCGTTTTACGCAATTTTATTGTACAACTGTCGAAATGGCGACACAGGCAACAAATTTATGTGTCATAAACTTCAATGAAAAGCGCTGGGAAACGGTCAATTTGTCCGTTACACAGAAGAACTTTGTACTGAATGAACATCTAATCATTGTCCTCTTGTGCTATCAATTCAATTTGAAAGCGATACATGAAATTGGAACACGAGTCAACGCTTGAATTTTGACGTAAATTGAATTTATTTCGTTCATTTACAGGTGAAATCGATTTTTATAGCTTGACAAAATAATAAAAAAAAACTGGATGAATCTGTTTAAACAGACATCACATGTACACGTTGGACGACTGAAAACTGAAGTTTCAATTGCAAAACGTACGTTTTGAAATAAAAGTGTGCCGATGAATCTCATGCACAGCGACATTACAATGAAAAACCATACACAAACATATTCGATGCGGCTTTTGCAATAATATTCCGTTGGCAGCGCTTCAATTCGGCTAATTTTCCTAATCTTCTGTGCTAACAACCATAAAACGAAAAATTGAACGAAAGAAAAAAATGTTTAAAAAAATCGTATCTTAAATAAGATTAAACGAATGTGTTGGTGGCGTTTCTGTTTCATTCGCAGTGATATTTTTTTTGAACGCTCTAAGTAAAGCCATTTGATGAGAATTTCTTACGGCATACTTTTTTTTACACTCTCTGTGTCATAAAATCAACGTTCAATTGTTATCAAATTGCAGGTGGTAAATTTGTTTGACAACCCATCGATCAGTTTTAGAAAGAAAACATCTCACTTGAATTGGAAAGTTATCAGCACATTTTCATTGACATCGGATGATTAAATAAATGATTTGAAAAGATAATCCGAAACTAGCACTAAGCAAATAATCGGCGTGATGCACTTGAATTATTATTTGAACCGTTTTGCTCGTAAAAATGCAATCAAAAATCGATTAAATGGCTTTTCTGTGAACAAAACATGAATTGCTCATCAAATATGATAAAAAAAAATCGAATCGTAAAATGAATTCTCAATATGATTGCCCAAGCGTGCTTGTTGCAGACAAAAATAGATTATTCCGGTTCTTTTATTTATTTTTTTCGTGACAAATTTGTCAATAAACACATTGAACGGATTCAAAGAAATGTCAGCTTGATCTGGGTATTGGTGAATAAACAATTCGACAAAATGTTTAAATACAATAATTCCAATTACAGAAGATACTAATTTCTCATTTGTTAGCAAAATTGCATGCAAACTGTTGTTAGTAATCAAATATTCAAATGAGCAGTTTCGATCAAGGTTATTCCTTACATACGAAAAAAAAACAGAAAAAATTCTCGAAATTACTATTTAATGTTTGAATAACAACAATGCCGTTGACTGCTGAATCATGATCAACATTGATAGCTAGTTTTTTTTGCCGTCGTCTCCGTTTTTCCCCGTCGCTTATTCATTTACACAAAATAATTTTACGCACTTGTTTGTTTACATTTGATTGTAGGCAAAATGGCAGTAAACACAGCGTTTGAACCAGATTACATTGATGAGACGACCACGTCAGCGGCACAAACTCCAAAAAATGCGTCAAACAATGCGGTCAATGGACGACCACCGAACGAAAGCACCTCCTTCAATTTGAATTTAGATACTTATTTTTCCGATGAAAAAATCCGGATCCCAGACCAGGTATGTAGAACAATTTGAGAAAAAAAGTTTGATCAAAATGATTTCTAACCAATTGATTTTTTTCTGTTCTTCTTAGGAAGGATTCAGTTTTCGTAAGCTATGGGCTTTCACCGGACCAGGTTTTCTTATGTCTATCGCTTACTTGGATCCCGGAAACATCGAATCAGATCTTCAGTCCGGAGTTGTAGCGAGATACAGGCTATTATGGGTTTTGCTAACAGCGACAGTTTTGGGTTTAGTTATGCAACGGCTAGCTGCAAGGTAATGATCTACACGCACTTCCGTAGATTGAAAACAAGTTAAAATTCCCTTTTTTAATTAAAATAGATTGGGAGTTGTGAGCGGTTTACACTTGGCTGAAATGTGCTACAGACAATACAAAACGTTTCCACGTTTAGTTCTGTGGATTATGACTGAGATTGCCATCATTGGATCGGATATGCAAGAAGTCATTGGAACAGCCATTGCTTTATTCTTATTGTCAAACAAATTGTAAGTTTTTTCATAAACACCATTATGTTTCATTTTGGTTAAAAATCGCCCAAACATTGTCATTGATTAAAAATGCATTGTTTCTTTCGACAGTATTCCCTTGTGGGCCGGCACTTTGATTACAATCATCGACACATTTTCATTTTTAATGCTTGACAAATATGGTTTGCGAAAGCTTGAATTGCTGTTTGGGTTTCTAATCAGTGTTATGGCTGTAACATTCGGCTATGAGTACATAGTCTCGGCACCAAGTCAAATCGATGTTATGGAAGGAATGTTCATTCCTTGGTGCAAAGACTGTGGATCAAAGGAATTATTACAAGCTGTTGGTATTGTTGGAGCTGTGATTATGCCGCATAATTTGTACTTGCATTCGGCATTAGTTAAGGTACATTTCGAACTGAACAAAAACAAACTAGACAATGAAAACCGGTCAACTCAACCACACTGTCGTTTCTCTATTTTTTTCTCTTTTTTCAGTCGCGTGATGTAGATAGAAGAGATTCGGCTAAGGTTCGCGATGCGAACATGTATTTCTTCATTGAAGCCAGTATCGCCTTGTTTGTGTCGTTCATCATAAATGTATTTGTGGTTTCTGTTTTCGCGCACGGTCTCTTCAACCAGACCAACAACAATGTTGTACGTAAAATTTTAACCTTTTTAACTTTTCAATTTAAAGACCATCTGTACATACAATACATGTTTTACATTGTGGATTTTAGGTGCAAATGTGTAAAAATAATTCATCGCCGTTGTATGCAGAAGCGTTGGATTTGTTTGGAAAGTCAACCGACCTAGTTGATGCGGATTTGTATAAAGGAGGCATTTTCTTGGGTTGTTCCTTTGGAATTGCGGCCATGTACATTTGGGCAGTTGGTATTTTGGCAGCGGGACAAAGCTCAACCATGACTGGAACGTACGCTGGCCAGTTTGCGATGGAAGGTTTTTTGAATTTGCAATGGGCGCGTTGGAAGAGAGTTTTCGTTACCCGTTTGATTGCCATCGTTCCAACATTTTGCGTTGCCTACTTCAGTGATATTCGAGATTTGACTGGGATGAATGATGTGCTAAACGCGGTCATGTCGTTGCAACTACCATTTGCTGTGATTCCGACCATTGCATTCACCTCCAGTGTGGCCATTATGGGCGAATTCGTCAATGGCATTGGCAACAAAATTGTTTCGGTTCTTCTGTTCATTCTTGTTATCGCAATCAATATCACATTCGTCGTGGATCGATTGAACGACGCTGACTTAGACTGGGGATGGTTTACATTAGTCAGTGAGTACTATTCATTTGAAGAAAAATGCAAATAATTTTCACATGTTAACCGTGTGCATTTCTTTTGTCTATTTTTACAGTCATTTTCAGCGTTTTGTACATATTGTTCAATATTTACTTGGTTATTCACATGGCTGTTTACATGGGAAGTGAACGACTGAGAAATTTATCGGTATGGCTTTGAATTTGTCTCCCCATCAATGTGAAATATTGACACTTTCATTTTCATTTTTTTTTTTTTCAGTTGGTACAAAAGTTCATTATGCCAGCAGAGAATACGTTCCAGAATGAAATTACGCATAACTCCTATTCTAGGTAAGCGACATTGCATACAATTGGCTTAATTTATTCGGAGAGCTTCTTCCACTTTACTCAACCACTTTATTTGTTTTGCATGTAAATTTTAAATCCATTAATGTGTACTAAACCTAATAATTTCACTGCTTTGCATTAGCACGATTTTTTTTCAATTTTTTTTAGGAGTGGTTCAAAGATATAACCTGTTTTCTTGTTTTTTAATTTAATTACCACTTTGGGATAAACCTATGCACGGTCTGTGGCCTTTCAAAATTGCATGAAACAAAATCTTCGAACTAAATTTATATATTTATAAGCTGTAATATAATGAAGTGAAAGAGGTGGAAATATTCTTTTTGGAACTTATGCCTGAATCACGTGTGTATGTCATGTATGGGACTATTTGGCGGTAACATTGATATTTAACAATAGCGATTGATTGCGGTTCTAAGATTACCGATTAAAAGATATTGTTTTTTGTTTGATTTTTTGTTCTTATTTTTTGCCCTTATTTTCTTGATTGACTCTCAATGTGTGGTGGATTAATCGGGTATAAAGAATTAATGTCTGTTAACTACTAACCAATGACAAGCAATTAGTTGTAAACAAATTATAATTTTGGTATTCAACGTGATCGATGTGTAAGTATACCGATGCATCTGGGAAAATGAAATGAAAATTTGATTTAAGTGTTGACTGCTTTGAATTCTCTCCAAATTGATCGATCTCGGTGGTTTTATTGCGAATTGTTTTCTTTTCAACATTTTAGTTTTATCACTGGCCAGTCATAGGGATAAAATGCGCTATAATAATAATCTATTGCCTGTTCAAAATGAATGTAAATATTGAGTTTTGCATTTTATTACTTTGTATCATATGTGTGTTTGTCCAAGGAAAATTGATTTGGTGAAAAAGATCGGTATTCGATCGGTTGGTGTGGGATGTTGCCTCCTTTATTCTAGTATTAAATGAAATAAATTGACACCGTTTTCTTTTCTCTGTCGCACTTTCTATGTTCGAAATGAAATAAAACAAAATTTAACGCAGCTTCAGTCCAACATACAATATGCACAGTTTGTTTAAGAACACCTAACACTTGGATTTGTCACATTTGTGTGAGTATTCAACACCCCAGCATCTATGAACAATTTATACACATCACTCTCTAATATTAATTTTTGTTGAAGCGAATGATGAAAAACAAAACGTTTTTGAAAAAAAAAAAATAATCAAACGCCATTCAACTAATTCATGTGTTTGTGTGCGTGTGAATTGGACAGGAATTTTGTGTCGTTCAAACTGCATTGATGAAATAAATTTTAATCGATTAACCATTGAATCATCTGTCATTTTGAAAATGTTGCAGAAACAAGGAAATGCAATCCTGTCGTTTGTAAGCTGAACGAATCAATACCACCTTCGAAACGTTTCTATTTTGGGCATTACCAACACGAGTAATTGAACTTCTTTAGTCCTTCGATGTTAAGAATGGCATTTAGCTTGGGTTGTAACTTTTGTAAATAAGCAGTTGATTAGTTCAATACAATCATGGCTGGTCGATGATTGTTTTTGGGAATCTATCGTCTTTTCTGCTGTCAAATGACGATCCGATCATTTTGCGATAATTTTCATTCAAGTCAAAATAAATCAATACATTTTATTTTCTCAGAATATTTTTTTTTTCATGTTAACTAAGAAGACTTTTGTTATAAATTGCACCGTTAGTTTTAGCACCTTGATTATAATCAATTGCAATATTTTAGTATTAATTTTAGTTGTGAATGATTTATTTAGTGTATTCTCTGTGTGTCAAAGCAATAATATCAATGGCATGAATGAAAAGAAAAATATTTTTTTTTAAATAAACTTTAGCCTTAAACTCTTCTTTTGTGTTCTTTTTTTTCGTGTTACCCGATTATTATTTTAGTAATTTAATTTGCATGAACTGTGCTCGAAAATTCTTTAATGAATATTGAAAAGCAATACCTAGTCCAATACTGTTGGGCGACAAAAATGGAATTTCAGATCTAAAGTTTAAAAATCGTTTTGGTTTTTTTATTTTTATTCACTTACAGAATGATTGACTCATAGCCGCTACTGGGTTCATTGGATCTTGACGATGATTCTTCAGATGACATCGATATTGCATAAAAAGCCAGTTAACCAATTCAATTTAGTGCACGTATTTCAGAGTGAACAATAGTTCACAGAAAAACAGATTTTAGAATAAAAATTGTGATTTCGTAATAAGAACCCAGCACGAAATATTTACTTTAGTTTTTTGTTGTTTTAAATTTGAAATGATTTATGACGATTGTTTTGACGAACAAAAACAGAATTAAAAAAAAAAATAAACCAAAGTTTTCGAATACAATAACCAAAGCGTGTAATACACGCCGTGTATTATTTTTATTACCTATTATTATTGATGAATATTGGCCAATGCAGTTGGCGTAGTATACAGCTTAGGAGCCGATCACATTCTTACCATTCACGTGGCCCAATGCCTGCCTCGGTCTCATCTCAGCCATTTTGAATCCTAAATAAGCAGCATCAACAAAAATTAAGATGGATCCATTTACACTTGGATTTGTTTCAAATAGAATTTATTGCAAGTATTCGTATTGAACATTTCATTTAAATCATAAAATCGATGTATATATATGTATATCATAAAATTGATTTAAATTTGTATGCTTTTATTTTGTATGTTTGTTTATTTCATTCTTTTTCAAAATTCATTTACACATTTGACAATTTTGAATTGGTTTATTTAAATATATCATTAAATTCAAATGGATAAGTGTAAATTCCGAGAAGAAAAAAACGGCCAATTCAATTAAAACTACACATTCTTTTGCTACATATCATTTGGTTCAAACTTTATTCTCATATATTGTTTATGACATTGTAACGTTTAAGAGGTTGTGTTTTCTTCTTTAACTACGACAAAAAATAGTATGTCATTTTAGAATGAACTAGGATTTTGAACAAAAAAAATCCAGTCGTAATCGCATATATGGACATTCCTTGTGGATTAAGACATTGCATATTTTTGTTGTTCCTTTTATCAAGAAATATCCATGTGGTCAGAATCGGGTAAAAGAATAAAAATTTTAATGGAGACTCGTTTAAATCGGTTTTTTTAGCAGCACACATAAGTGAATTTTAATCGAAATGCAACAAAGACAAGTCATTCGCTGGAAATTTACTGCCAGTGAGAAAAAATACATAATCTTTTCCTCTTTTTCTCGTACATAATATAAATTTTGTGTTAAACGGAACATCAAATTGTTATTCCAATTGTATAAATCTTGCAGCAGCTTAAATTTCGAATTCAGTGTTAAAAATGTTGTTACATTCACATAATATAACTCGGTTTACATAATTATTTACACATAAAATATTATAAATTTGGTATCATTAGAAAGAATTTTGTATGCGAAAATGAATCAAATTCTCGTCTTTGTTGTTGTGAATGGATAGAGGACGTTACACGTGTGACGTTATCGAAATCTTGTCTTTACGTTTATTCTTTTCTTTTCTATCAAAGGATATCTTTGTTTGTTTTCTTTTCGAACGATTTAGACATCTTTTTCCCTAAAATGGTCATCATTATTACAAACTTAAACAAAATTTTTATTTGAAGCTAGGCTTTTCATCCATTTTTCTTTGTTGCACTTCATGCTATTGCATTTTTTGCACCTTAACGACATCATTCACTTAAACCATACATGCTTCTATTACATTCAGTGTTTTTTTTTTCGACTTGAAATTCGATTCCACTACAGTTGATTCATTCGCGATGTGATATTGATAAATTGACTTTATGAAATTCAAGTGATTGTTTTCAAATCTTTTCAGATAAAACGAAATCATTTGAAATATTTTCATTTTGTTGATTGAAGTATCTGTTCATAGTTCACATTTTTAGGTATATGCACCATATTCTGAGTTTTGTTTTTATTTCACATTTTTTCCGTGAACCGATCCATTGTTTTGTAATCAAAATGAGTTCCAAAGCAATAATGAACAAATTGTAACACCACAATTTATACAATCCACTTTGGTTTCATATGAATTTGACTTTGTTTTTTTAAGAAATTGTTTCTAACTTTTGTTGATTAGAAAGAAGAAAAAAAATGACGGGCATTTAACTGGAAAAGAGAAATCGCCAAAAGAAAGAAGAAAAAAAAACGAAAGAAAAATTATAGTAAAGCAAATAAATAGAACAACAACAAAAATGTCGAATCGAAATTAAACTTAAAAGAAATATTACCTGTTGAAATGTTCAACGTTGGCCACGTCATCCGTGTCGTATTCACTGTTCCCAATGATATGCCGTTCGATGATGAAAATTTGTGATTCCTCCTCATTCGTCGAAACGTTTGCATTAGTTCGGTTAGTATTAGTTCTATGTCTATGTCTATTTCTACGTGAATTTCGGTTAGTACGAGATGTATTTGTTTCATGGTTATTATCGATTGTGATTGCCTGAAATCCGGGCCGACTGTTCGCAAGTAGGAGGGCGGCATCGTGATGATCGAATGAGTTTTCATTTAGGATCAGTGAATCAACGACATCGGTTCGACTATTTTCAGTGTGTTCAATTTGTGATGGCTGTTGCTGTGGTTCATGGCTATTGTTATGCGTCCGTCTGTTGCTTACTTCTTCATCATCTTCCTCATCATCTTCTCCTCCAGCTCCATTTTCTGTCTCTTCATCTTTTTCCATCGACTCGACGGACGGTTGCCTTAAAATTATATTCGATTGTAGTGGAATTTCACTTGAATTAGAATTATCAGATGTAAAGCCGTGATTTATTACCGATTCTGGTGTGTTTGGTACAATCTCGCAATTTTCATCTTCTTGTATAAGCACAGCGTCTCCAACACTGTTCACAACACCTAATGACGAACAGATTGTGCTGCTCTTTGTTAGTCCGCTGTTGGTCAATGGAGCTGAATGCAGGATATCACTGACAATCGGCGACATTTGAGTAGCATGCAATGCGTGTGGCGTCAGTGTTGTTGGTACATTTGATGGGTAAATGGTTGTGATTGCACTCGTTGTGGTTTTCGACGCAATAGCCGGATTGGTCACCGTTATAGGTAGCTCTAATGATGTTGGCACATTTTTCGACGTCACTGAAACACCGATCACAGCTAAACTCTCGTCCAGATTCGAGCAATCTACACTCGGCGATGTCAAATCCGTTTTTGATGGCTGTTCCAGTGTCGACATAATTGGCGGTAAAATGGAATTGGTTTCGCTGGTCGGCGCTTGATTTATGGTTTGAAAGGCAAGCGGATCAACTTCAATGCCATTTCCCGTTTGGATTTGCAATACATCACCAATATACTGTTCCTGTGGAAAAACACCTGTGTCTTCGAGGGCGGCTGCCAGGATATCGTGATTTGGATCTTCTTCGATCATATCCTCCGGTATAATGATTTGTTCTTGTTGATTCGATTGTATGGCAGCGAGTATATCTTGGGGTGATCCTTGCAAAATCAAGCGTTGCCCATCGGCCGTGACCAATTGTTGCATTTCACCGCCCGACGTCAATTGCAGCAGGCTTTGTTGATCGAGCAATATCTGTTGACCATCAACATTTAGCAAATATTTTAAATTCGATGGCTCTTCAACATTCTGAACCACTTGCTCTTGTTGGTATTCAAATTGTTGGGACACTTGTGGCACTAGCGTTTCTTCGACGAGCTCTTCTTGAATGCCACCGGCGTTTGATATCAAACTGCCGGGAATCAATTGATTCTTTTCATCCAAGTACAACGGTTGATTATCGATGGGTATGTACAGATTATTTTCCGTTATCCTGCACAGATAAAATGCACCGGCTGGCCCATCGAAATTCTCAGCTGGAACGGCTAATAGCTGATTATCTTCGGCATTTGGCAATACTTCAGTTGAATGGCTGTCGTCGCTGAGTGAATGCGCTGCAATCACACTCTCCTGTTGTTTGCGAATCAATAGCTCCTGTTGCTTCTTGTTCGGTCGGCTAGTTGCTTTCACAGTTTGCTTTTGCACCGTTGGCTGTACGTGTTGCATGATATTTGTGGTGATCTTTGGCTGCACCTGTCCCGCTTTCATTTGATGCTGCAAAAATGGATGCTTCTGCATTTGTTGGTGCGGCGACTTGTGCAACATGCTCGGTTGTTTGTGGATCAAATGCGGATTAATCGATTGTTGGGTTTGAACGTGATATGTGGGCATCGGCGGTGATTTGATTTGCGGTGAATATGAGGTGGACGCACTTGAACGAACTACTTGCGTTAATGGCCTCGCGGGTATCGATGTGGTTGGTGTCTGACTGACAATTGTGGTGGACGTTGTTTTGAGCAAAGCACCTTTGCTCGTAATCACAAACTGCGTTGATGATGCATTCGATTTTGCTGTGTGAAGCAATGCTGGGTTCACCGATTGCACCATGTCTGGTGTTTGGATGTGCGATGGCAAATGTACGACTGGTTTGTCAGATGGCTTGCGGTACGTGATGATTGGATTGCCTTGTAAATCATAACCAATGGTGACGGCCACTTTTTTGCGTGACGTTCGTTGATTTTTCTTCTGAGCTTGTTGCGGTGATGACGAAGTGGAACTGACAGCGCTCACCTCACTCGGCACCGGCTTTGGAACAACAACAGTTTGACTTGGACTTGGGATTGGGTTTGGATTTGGTTTAATCAATAATCCATCGCCCGCATCTCGAATCTGGCTACTCGATTCGGCCACATTTACACGTTTATTCACATTTTGCGTTGTAGTTTCCACAACAATCAATGTTTTTGCTTTTTTTAGTGGCTGAATTACATTTGTCACCAAGCTGTTATCGCTACTTGTTTCCTCTTTTTCGTTCACCGATTTTCGTTTTTTCACGATGGGTGCATTTATTAAGGGTGCACTTTCTTCTATTTGTTCCTCCACCTCGAAGGCTATCACCTCTTCGATTGGATTTGTTATCTTTGAACTGGTCGGCACCTCAGCTGTTGTTTCTGTTGGTGATCCTTTTGTGTCTTTGTCCGTGTCTGTGTCTGTGTCTGTGTGTTGTTCCATTTGGACGTCATCGGTGCTCGACGCATCTTTTTCGCTCGATGTCACAATGGATTCCGTTATCTTAACCGGCGAATTAGTCAAAGTGATCAAAGTGTTTGCCACCTCAGATTCGATTTGACTCTCTTCCAATTTGACCGTCGAATTGATTTCTTCCTTAGCCAATGACTCATTCGCCACTGATTCCACCTCGGATTTTACTGGCACAACTTCGGCCGTTTTTGGACTTTCGTTTGTCGAATCGGCCAATGATTTCTCAATTGAATCAAAACTCTGATTTGCTTCTTTGGTGGGAGATTTTTCATCCGAAAACGAATCTCCCTCGGACAAACGACTTCTATTCCTTGACTTGAAAATACGTTTGCCTCGCTCTTTTGGCGGTAGTGCCTTGCTGTCTTTCACGTCGTCATCTTTTTGCTGTTTTTCTGGGGTTGTACATTCATCCATTGAAGTGTTCTTGGCATCGTCCAAACTGACATTCGCAATGATAGTCTCTTTGTCATCTGGTTCGAGCTTTAAGCGCTTTGCTTTTTCTTCTTCTTGTTTTCGCATCTCTTCCAATTTATCGATTGTTTGCAATTCAAACACTTTTCCAGGCGGCAGACAGCGTCGTTTGCGGCGATTCAATGTCTGCGGCACTTCATCTTCTTCCTCCTTGAAATCGAAACAATCCATTTCAATTTTACTGGGATCTGAATCGGATTTTGTCGGCGACGTTTCATCCGTTTCCATTTTCACTTCAGATTTTACTTCAGCTTCGATATCATTTTGATCGATCAACTCAATGGTTGATTCAACTACAGGTTTCATTTCGACATCTTCGGCTATATCGGCTAAATTCTCCTCCGTTCCATTTCCCTTGATGACATTCTTTTCGGTTTCATTTGATTGCAATTGGCCCTTTTCGTCACCGCTCGTCGATGTGGTTTTACGCCTCGCATTCGATTTGTACGTTTTAGTTACCATTTGTGTTTTTCTTCTACCTTTCGGCTTAACTTCGTCTTTCTTTTCCTCTTCCAGTTCGACGGAGGTGATTTCGACCGGTTGAACTTTCGGCTCGTCAACAATTTCCTCCGCCGACGAGCTCCGAGCATTATCGCTACTATCCATTTCGTCGTCGGTCTTGTGTTTATTGAGTAGTCGGCGTTTCTTTTCAATTATTCCAACCGTTTCGATGTCCTTTTGCAATAGACTAGTCTCTTCGAGCAAATCAGCACTTTGTTTCAGTAAATCGAAGTCTTTTTCCTCTTTGCCGTCGTCATCTTTCTTTGCGACTTCGCCTGGTGTTTCCTCAACGCATTGTACATCTGTGGTACTTTCTACCACTTCATTTGCGGTTGTCTCAACAACATCGTCAACATCGTCAAACTCATCAATTTCGATTGGTACAACATCTGGGCTGTTTGATTTCTCTTCCGTCGTACTATCAATTTCCGGCTCCTTTGGCAAATCGTCGGTGATTTCACAGATTTCCTCGTCCGATTCAATGATAACGGTTTCGTCTTTTTGCGTTTGTTCATTCGTGCTTGGCACTGGTTTCGTATAGAATTCATCCAAAATGATACCGCGACGATCTTTTTTCGGAATGTTACGAATCGCTAGTTTTGGTTGTTTTTCATCGCCGCTCTGGTGTGTCGGTGACGATACTGGACTTTTTATGTCATCCGGTTCGCTGGTCACATCTTTACTCGTCGACACCATACTATCATCATCTTCTTCTGACCAGTCAGCGAGAAGTTTTGATTTGATTTCAATTGGTTCCTCCGGCAATTTCTCAGTCTCTGTCACAATCACTTCTACAACTTGCTTCTTCCTCGTGGCTCTCGGTGTTTTGCGTGTACTTGCTGCTTTTGGCACTGGTGATTTAGTTGCTGTTGTTTCTGTTACCGTCAACGTTTCGGTTACTATTTCTTTCACCTCAGATTCAATGTTTTCAGTATTCACCGCTTGTGCGGCTGATTTTTTCGGTTGTCGTTTTCTCGGCGTCGGTTTTACTGTCTTTTTCGGTGTCACCATTTTAACATCACTTTCACTGTCACTTGTCTGTGTCAAACGATCTTCGGAAACGCTATCCAAATCAATTTCCACTGCAACAGGTTCCACGGTGGTTTGCTTCGGTTTTCTGCCTCTTGGCTTTGCCGGCGACTTTCGTACTGGTGTTGTAACCGGTGTCTTCTTTGTTTTGGCTATTCGAGAAGAAAAGATCAAACAATAATTTCAGAAAAAATTGTATACAAAAATAAGTTTAGCAAAAATAAAAAACATTGAAAATTATGCACAACTTTGTTAGCAATGCAGAATATCAACCGAAACGCATTTCACTACCTGCTGGCTGAGGTTCAACTTTAGTTTCCGGTGCATGCGTTTTGTTATGCAAAACAATGACATTTAGTCGAGTCGTTGAAAAGTTACACAAATAGCAACGGAAATCACTTGTGCTGGCTGTTGAAGTGCTTGCACTGGCCGGCGAACGATGCGATGTCAATGATGATGAGGTGTATGATTTTGGCGTTGATAAGGTTGGTGTGGTGTGCGCCGCTTTCAAAGAAAAATTCTGTAAATGGAATAAGGAATCGCTAGTTAGCCAATCTAGTTTTATTTCAGTTGAAATTTTTCCATTACCTTTGTCCGACTGTATGTTAGATCTTCGTCGATGCTCGGTGTGGCTTTCCTTCGACCACGTCCAACGCCTTTTTTCATTTTCGGCGTTTGATCACCGAATATATTCGCAATGTTTGGCTTTTGCTCCGGCTGAAATTCTTCACTGTCAATGATGTCTGGATCGCCGCCGGTTTTTTCCTCTGCAATGCGAACATCCTCTGGGAACTTTTCCATATTACGCTTCTTCGAACGATGCAAATCTGTTCAACAGAAATGAATTTCAGAAATAAACTCATTTGAATTCAGTAAATTTTGGTAAATTCCCAGCGAATTTAATCTTACCCAGTCCTTTTTTGATGAACTCATGCTTTCGATTACAATTGTATCGATAAATGTCATTGATTGTTTTCACGTATTCATAGGCGGGCTCTTGGAAAAATTTCACCACTGCAACGGGCATTTTGCGAAACGATTTCAACAGACCGGGCGGTAATTTCGATTCGCCATGTACCTCGCCTGGCCACCAAAAATTGTGGAATTTTACCCAAACAATGTCACCGTCAACGTACTCGATTTCAGTTTGATCACACATTTTGATATCAGTACACTTTGCTTTGCGATTGTTATTCCGGTTTTATTTCTATACTTTTTCGGTTTTCGCTCGATGAGTGTGCAACTATTGTTCACTTCTACGTCCTATTCTGACCTTTGTGGTAGATGAAGTTCCTGGTTAGAAAAATGAAATGAAAAACTCACAATCAAGTCGAATAGGTTTCATAAAAAATTATTTTCACAACTGTCGAAGTGGTTTCCAAAAAAGGCCACTGATATCGATTAGCATTAATGTTATATGATGTGTACTTTTCTTTTTGTCAATTCAAAACAAGGAAAGTTTGAAAAGTGCACACACACACACTGATAAATTCGTATGACGTGTGCGATACACAACGATATGGCGTTATATTTGTTTGACCACTATAATCAAAGTGAATTCCGTATTTTGTGCATTGAAAGCATACAACGTAAGGAACAATAGCATTGTTACACAACACACGATTTAGCTCAGCTCAGCTCAGTTCAGTTTAGTGTGTCAAACGCGTTAGGAAACCTGAGCTGAAAACCCTGACTTGGAATATCGTTTGAATTTTTTCTTGTGGTTATTTCTCGGCAAGATTTGACATTCGCTTTGAATATGAGTTTTATTCTTTTCTCTGTCAAGCATTCTGTTACTTTTGAGCGTATTCTCTATTTCTCTCTTTTTAATCTTTCTTCTTAGTTGATTGTTTGTTCATTTTGAAATCGGCCATAAGTACGATAGGCAAATGTGTATTATGTGAGTGTGCCTTGCACACACAATTTAATGAATGTGTAACTGTTGGTGTACTTCATTTCAATGCTACTACACATATCAATATGAATACAAAAATAATAATGCACACACATCGAGCCGAGAGAGGTCTGTGTGTTCGTATGTAATATATCGGTTGGTTCGGTTTGTGTCAATTTTCGTCTTTTTCGTGTCGTTTCGTTTCGTTTTGTCGTCGTAGTCGTTGTTTGTGGCCAATGGAACTTGTTTTTCTCCCTGACTCAAACCTTATCAACACTTTTAGTTCATTTACAAGCCATTTGAAACTAGAGTCGACACTTTTTCGCCTTTCATTGCTATTGAACGTGGTGGTGTGTGACTTACAATTCGAATTATTACTTGATAAATATTCACAAGCGAATTATGAAAGAGATTTTCTTTTGGTAATATTCCATCAAGCTATTTCATCTCGCAACATTGCCGATCGGTGGTTTGCCGAATACACATTGAAATTAATATACAGTGGTAGCGGCGGCTGTACTCGAATAGGCTTGTAACTTATTGACATATTACACGCATACACATCATGAATTTGTGTGCGGAACATTCTCGCTCTCCCGCATACACTCGACTGACACAACGCACACACATGAGCAGAGGCCCATACCACACATAAACGCATATCGCTGCCAAACCGACGACATTGATATTTGATTATTACTGCACAAAGACCAAGTCGTAATTGTCAGTGTGACAAACAAATGAATGCATAAAATTTTATTTGAACAACAGACAGAGAGAGAGAGAGAAAGAAAAAAAAAGAACAATAATTTTTCTGACATGAACACCAAGCGAAATTATATTGTATCCTAGTATGCGTGCAAAAAAAAGAAAATAGCCGAAGAGCGAGACAAAGAGAATGGTCGCGCGTAGGGGACAGCGAAAAAGCGCTGAAGAGCAAACTCCGTTTATTTGATATATGCAGTATACAATGACGGTAACCGGAGAAATGCTATGGCGATGTAATCGCACTCAATCGTCGCCGTTACCTGTTTTCGACTTTCTTGTCTGTATGTATTAGCGCATTAAGAAACAAAAAAAAAATGCGACGCCTTCTTTAATGACAATTTCAATAGGTTGAATGGGACCTAATTTATGCATCAAACGATTGAAAACCATATCATAATTGCGGCGAAAAGTCCAAATATTTTCCACATTGAAATTCGCGATGACGTTTTTCTATTCAAGACTCCCACAAATGAAAAGAGTTGGAGAAATGTCTAGCGGAACATTTTGATAGAGTTGTACTCACCATTTCAATGAAACGACACAATTTTTGACAATTTCAACTTCAATCGAATTTAATTCACAATTTTCTACCGATTCTTTAGAATTTTCTTGTTCACTTTTCAATATTTCTTGCCGCTAAAAATGATGAAAAACCATGGAATTTTATTCACTTTGCAAACATTACACAAAACATCGGTTTTGTATGCGTATCGTATTCAATGAATGAATGGGACTCGCAATGAATCTTCAATATGGTCGACTGAATTTTTGTTTTTCGGTCGACATCATTAACACATAGAGAGAACCAGCTTTTCGGCATTATGAACGAGACGAAGGACACACAGAGCGCAGTGCGCACGAAAGAGACGGATAACTATTACGGAGAGAGAAATGTCGGAGAGTAGACACAGATACTCTCATTTTGCTAGTGTCGTTTGATGGTGTGCGTGTGGCATACTTGGTTCGTTCAATGACGTTTGGAAAAATTCTAGCTTGCCTTTTGACAGCGGCGGTTTAAATTTGACAGTTGCTCTTGTTTATGACGTTTGGAATATGGGCCCACTGAAAACTGAAAATGGCTTGAGAAATACACGGAAAGAAGTGACACAATTTCGAACATTTGAAATTACAATGAAATTTCGAATATTTATTCACTGTCTTCTTTTTCTTCCTTTTTCGGAACATGGTCGATTTTTATCTTTGCTTTGGATACATTAGCTGGTTCATCGGATTTGCGTTTCTTAATCTCTTTCAACATTTGCTTATGCTGATCGTCGATTTCTTTTACTAGTTTTGGCGCAATGGTCCATTCTGTATCGCACGGCAATCGCTTCGTTGGGTCATTTTCCCCTGAATATTCTGGTAACTCAACACCCAAGCGCTTTAACACCTTTTCCATCACAGTGTCCACGTACGTTGAGATGACCAAATCGGCTTTTTTATCATATTTCGTTGGTTGCAAATTGCAAATTACAACCTTTCCACCGAACTTCTTACTTTTTAATGGTAGAGTTCCAGCTGGATTTATTTGAAGCGTTGTGCCAAGTGTTATGTTCAAATCAGCGAGGCTGTAATTGATTTGAATTTCGCTTGAAATATTGTTGTTGGCATAATAATTTGAGACTTGGCTTACCATGAATGAGATAGTGCCATATCGAGATCTTTGTCGGGTAAATCATGTTCCCAATCCAAAATGTTATCAATCAAATATCCTCCGCGACATGCACGAGTTCCTTTGCCTCCTTTGCATAAGCCACCGGTTCTTTTTTGCCCAACAGTGGGTGCCGGAGTTGCTCGCACATATTGTCTGCAAGCGATTGAGATAAGAGTCATGGAACTGTCATTATATACTTCTTTTCTATTTTAATCAAACATACCTGCGACATTTGTCACAATTTTCAATGAACATATTGCCGTGCAATTCGGCCAAATGCTTCCTCGATACTCCAGATCGTAGATGCAACCCATCAATATTTTGGCTTATGATGTATTTTATATGACCTGAATCTAGCAGTGCCTTCAGAGCCATATGGCATTTCGTGGGGATTGCTTCTGAGAATGAAACATTCACCTGCGGCGCTTTTCCTTCTTTTTCGAGCGTCCACACTCCTTTTGGTCCACTGAAATAAATCAAATCCAACATTCGTAAGTACATTGTCAATCAAAATAGAAATGGTTGAGAACGAACCGAAAATCCGGAATGCCAGATGAGGTACTGATGCCTGCGCCAGTGTGAACCACGACATGTTTTGCTGCCAATATCATTTGGGCCAGTGTAGCACATTTTTCATCCACAGTTTTTTCGTCATCAAAAACCTAAATATTCGTAACAATTTAGTTGCATATTTTGAATATATTATGAATTAGAAGTCGCTTGAATGAAGCCATAATGTAGAATTTACTTCCGCAATTCCCAAAACTCCTTTGTTACTGTACTCAGAGAGGCCATTTGCGTAGTCACACGACATTTTTGTACTTTTAAAATATTTGTTTTTCTATAAATTTGCAATGTTCTTTTGTGTATCGCATTTATATAGAAAGTTTGTAAACAAAGCCAATGTCACTGTGATGCGAATTCAGCTGTCACTTACATGAAAGTAGTAGATTATGAGCTCAGTGTGATGAGCGCGTTTGGTTGACATGTGATTCAAATACAACAGTCGAAAGGATTCGTTTATTAATCAGTTTTGTATATTTAGAAAAAATCCAAAACAATGCCAATAGTATGTTGTTAATAAAGAATGATGGAGAACAATCTTAAATTCGTAAGAAATTTATTTAAATAGCACAGTAAATAAAAAATTTATTGGTTTCTTTTAGGTCAAAATAAATCAAACAATATTCAAATTCAAATTTTTTTCATTCAATTTTCGATGGAAGCAAATAGTATTTGTTGATTATCTGGACACAATATTTTTATCGGTAATAGCAACGTCCTAGCGCCCATGTTGGATTGGGTTTATGGCAATACAAGCCGGGACAGCAAGCTGCTTGGCTTCCATGTGTTCCTCTGCATGGCGAGTCATGTTTTAAACAAGCTTCAACCACGATTGGAGCAAAAACACTCATAGCCAAAATGGCAATAATGACAATAACCAACGTTGGCTTCATTTCGATCTGGAATTAATAGGATTTTATAAGACTTTCAATGAAACTTTTTGAAATTATAAAAAGTAAAACCTGAGAAGTGTTGGTTTGTGTTAATCAAATTAAAAATATCAACTGATTGAGAAAATTGAACTGTCTGCCCAAAATACAGCGATTGGAATTGTCGTAAGAGTAGAGTATTGCTTATTAACTGGTTGATGCGACGAACTGCTTTAAACTAAGTAAAAATCTGATATTTATACTCGAAACCTTAGATGAATATCAAATTTTTCGCCGATAAGCTTCCTTAAATAGACGGGT